GAAATATATTATACTTTTAATAATTAATTAAAATTAAATAATAGACTAAAATAATATAAAAATTTAAAGCTTTTAATTAATATATTTACTTAAGTAAAATTTAAAAGTTTACTTTTACTTAAGTATTAGTATTATTATTATTAATTATTTTAATATTAATTATTATTCTATAAAGTAAATATATTTAATTAAGTAAATTCTATTTTATTTATTAAAAAGCTTTTTTAACTTTTAAATAAAACTCTTTTTTATATATAAAATTCCTTTTTTTATATATAATTAACTTTTATCCCCACTTCTGCCCATTTTCCAGCATTTAGAGCCGGCTAAGCAAATCAGAATACTAGATTAAGCGTGATATGGGGTAGACCCCGGGATGGCTGGGCATAATCGTACGTGTTGCAAGGTGTAGAGCTGTGATTGGGCTGCAGCAGGTGTGCGTTTAGCGCCCAGTTATGGAGAAAGCGCTTCATGAGCCAATCAATATTGCAGACAGCGCCTCCACCACCATATGCTTATTGAGTGCGTAAGCTCCCAACGAGATAAAGAGACAATTAGCACGGAATACGACAAAAGCAATAACCATTTTTCACTTTATTTCAATTTTACCTTCCGTTGTTTCCTCTCCCCGCCATCTTAGCCGCCCTTAACCTAGCGTATCAAGAAGGAAACTACCTCACAGTACCTCAATAATGCTCTGTTCAAAGTGCAAGGGTTGCCTCCAGACGGAAGCTTGCTTGGCCACTGCCCAGGCTTCTCACTCTTTAGCACATCACCAGACGTACCAGAGTCTGGAGCAAGCTATTGACGCGGGGTGTTATATCTGCACTCGTTTCTGGGAGGCCCTGAGTGCCCAAGAGCATGTGCTTCTCTCTAGCACTGTGGGTGAAGGAGTAGAGCCATCAGGTGCATATTGCGCCATCGAATCAGTTCAACACTATCTCACAAGCACTTCTCTGGATGATGGGAAGTCTTATGGTCACCCTGGCTGCTACCTTCTACAGGTTGCATACAACAATCCTGCCATCACAACCTGCTTCAGAGCGAGCTTCCTTCTCGAACCTGTCGAGTGTCAGTGGCTGCGTACCTCTCCTAGAATTGACTCCAAAGCTAATGATACTGTAGGTGCAAATAGAAACCTCGCACGTCAGAGCCTCTCCCAAAGCACACAATCCCCAGAGACATTATCTTTGGCCAAGGATTGGGTCAGAGAATGTACCGCGCATCATGAACGATGCAAAAGGCCCGTCGGCGAGAAGCCATGGTACCCGACACGCCTGCTCTCCTTCGACCTCCCTGAGGCATCAACAGTCCGCTTGCAGGAGACGGATCAAACAACTCCTGTTGGACAATACATGACACTCACTCATCGCTGGGGCCCTGTTGACCATATAGTATTAACGAAAGAAACATATCCACAGCTGCTCGAAGGCCTTCCCTTATCTACCCTACCCCAACTCTTCCGGGATGCCGTTTCTATCTGTCGCCATTTGGGCGTAGGATATCTTTGGATTGATTCCCTCTGCATCTTCCAGGGTAAGGATAACATTGGAGATTGGCAGCATGAGGCTTCGCTTTTGAAGAATGTGTACTCAAATTCGTTTTGTAACATCTCGGCGGCCGACACCCCCAATTGTTCTCAGTCGATTTTCAACAGCAGAGATCCCCGTTTGCTTAACCCCCAAGTGGTAGAGCTGACCCTGTGTGGGGAGGGCAGCGCAAAGATCACAGAGCGTTTTCTCCTTTCAGATTATAGGTTCTGGAAATCTGAGGTCTCAAACGCCCTTGTGAACCAAAGAGGTTGGGTTCTTCAGGAGCGCTTCCTAGCCCCTCGCATCCTTCACTTTGGCAGGCGACAACTTATCTGGGAGTGCTGCGAGAAAGACGCTGCGGAAGTCTATCCTGATGGTCTGCCGCTTGCCCTCTCGACATCCTCGGACGCGAGATTTAAACAGATGGATTCATCCGACTATACTGGTCGAGTGGGCCGGTACAGGTACCGCGAGGCTGACGGTAATTCCGCTCCTCATTTGCTGTGGCTTCGCATTGTGGAGCTGTATACAGCTTCTGCGCTCACAGTTCCCAGCGATAAGCTCATTGCGTGTTCCGGTATTGCCAAAAGGGTGGCCGAGATCGTGCAGGACGATTACGTCGCTGGTATGTGGCGTCGGTATCTAGAAGGTGAACTGCTGTGGATGGTACAGGGCAATCATCAGCCCGGACGTTGGACGCGACCTAGAGAATATCGTGCTCCCAGTTGGTCTTGGGCTTCAATTGATGGCCCGATCACTCCCGGCGAGCCACGAATTCAAGATTCGTTGATTACGGTTGAAGACTACCACCTTGATTACTGGACGAACGATAAGACTGCTGCAATTCGCGGTGGTTGGCTACGCCTTCGTGGAGTCCTCAAGAAGACAACTTTAGCACGCAAAAGCTCTACGCCGGGCGGAGGCTACCATTGGGACATGATGTTAGATAATGAAAGGGTCAATGTCCTGGAGGAGGCATCGCCGGGCAACACTGAGCCGCGAGTGATGCTTGATATTCTCCAGGAAGACTTTAAGGAAGAAAACACCAAAGGATTGTTGTTCTCTATGTGTGCTAGGTCGAAAACTGGGGATGGAAGAGGTATGTACATACTGCTATTCAAGATGGTTGAAGGAGAGACGGGAACCTTTCGCCGTATCGGCCTTGCCTATGCCTGGAGTGAGAAGGTAAAGGAAAGGATCCTAGCGAGTAGCGCGAGAGAGCCGCAATTACCATGTCTTGAGTATCAAGATGGATTGCATTCTATATGCATCATATAGAGCACGTTAAGTTATGAGAACGGGCTAGGGGAAACAGCGATTTAGCCACTCTCAGTGCGGGGTTATATCACCACTATAGGAAAACACTAGTATTTATCAATATAATCGCCTAACTGGTAGAGATTTCTGACTCTATCTAGCTTCCTGACTTTAATTTTTGCAATACATTCTTATAAAAGAGATAGGTTCTAGGTATAGGCACTATTAATAGTATAAGAGTTAGTTTAGTTATTAATTACTAGGTAAACAGGGTTAATAAGTAATATTAGTTAGCCTCCTATATAGCTAGCTAATTTTAATAGGACCTTAGTATACTATAGCGCCTTCTTAAGCTATCTATGGCCTGGTAGTAAAGTATATAAGAATATAAGATGCCCATCCTCTGCAGATGAGGTATAAGCTAGAGTATAGTGATACACTAAAGGGCCGCGCCCAGAGATGCGTTGAACGTTGCACCACCAGCCCCCCGCTTCTGTTACAGTGCAGTTAGGCATGATTGTATGGCCTGAGGCCACAACTTCTGAAGATCCCGTACCCCAGATAACTCGAAAGGTCATTTAACCAACTGCTATACTCATCATCACTTCCCCGATCACCTGTTTCCTGTGACAAAAAGCATTAGCTAGCGATCACAGCTCCATACCGCCCGGCAATCTACCTCCCGCTCCAGCACTAAACCCAAAGTGTATCGGTAATGCCTCTGTGCAGTATTTGCCTCAACATCAACTTCGGTACCATACTACAACCACGTACGGAAGGCTACCCCGAGCCCACAGGTGGATGGCCTCGAAACTTCGAGCTTTACTACTACGATGCGAGCGATTGGAGGGATACTGATTTCGGAACGGCTCTTTTTCCTCATCAGGACAGCCTCGAGAATCTTGAAGCTAGTGCTAGGTCCTGTGAGCTGTGCCGGTTCATTGAGCGCTGCGTGTCAGAAACAGTCGCCAAAATCAAGGCATCCAACGGCTTAGGCTTCCAGCATATTCCTGAATCGAATTACACGTTGTGGCTGTCGGGGAGGAATGAAGCGGATGGATTTCAGATCATCGGCTGCCACAATGAACTGAGAGACCAATATCGCATCATGGGTGGCGGTGGAGTCTGCGTCAGGGAAGGTAGGAGCACCAGGAAATAATAAAACCTGAAGAATTGGGCTTACGCTTTACTCAGATAGCCCACTAGCACATGTTGTCAAGGGACGACCAGTTTCCCCAGACCCTATGTTTTCTTCCATCTTGGCCCTCATTCCTGATTTGATACAAGATTGCAAAGACAACCACGGACATGTCGAACATGAGACTCGGGAGGCTCCAACCCGGATACTGAGAATCGAAGACAATGGTCAGAGAATTACGCTTGTAGAGGGAAACGTGAAAATCGAAGGCGGATATGCAGCCCTTAGCCACTGTTGGGGAGATGGCCCTCGAATCACTCTTAATACTGGCTCCGTCACGAAGCTGACGAAAGGGATGAGTGTATCTGACCTCCCCAAAACATTCCAAGATGCCGTTCGGGTTGTCAACAGGCTTGGGATATCACATCTCTGGATTGATAGCTTATGCATATTCCAGGATGACCCGAATGACTGGGCACGCGAGTCAGCTCGCATGGCCAAAGCCTACGGAAATTCGACCGTCACAATAGCAGCGAGCCGAGCAACAAACAGTTCTGAGGGTTTCCTGAACAAGCGTACGCAGCAGAACTATATCGCCGCTCCGTTCCGCCATGGCCAGGTTTCTGGAGAAATCTTGATCTTCCCCCTTCATGTTAGAAATGTTGGGGATACATCGCGCTATGCTCGCCTTGAAGATGAACCCCTCACAAATCGAGGATGGGTACTGCAGGAGCGCTACCTCTCCCCTCGTACAATCCACTTCGATAGCACCCAGGTGTGCTTCGAGTGCAAGAAGACGTTCATCACTGAAGATGGCTACTCAGCAAGCCCATCGCGCCTGAACTGGCAATATAAGTTACCAAGTCCCAATTCCTGGGAGGAAGACTGGGAACAAGTCGTCTATTTATACTCCCAGCGCAAGCTGACGATGAAGACCGACAAGCTTCCCGCAATAGCAGGCATTGCAGAGTACTTCTCAAACATAGCAGCAGCCGCATCTATCGATAACCGCTACCTGGCTGGTCTATGGCGGAACAACATCATCTCGGGCCTTTGCTGGCAAATCGACCCTCGCAAGGGTTTCCAGAGACGAGAAGGCCAGTACCGAGCGCCCACGTGGTCTTGGGCCTCATTGGATGCTGCGGTGTGGTTTCGCTCTGTGAAATATCCTCTGGCTATCTTCCAAGATGCGCATGTGGCCCTTGACTCAGATGAGAGTCCTTTTGGCAAAGTAACTGGAGGCTGGATCCTGTTACGGGCGAGAAAGTTCCCCCTATTAAGTAAAACCGGCAATAAGACGAAACTTACAGTTTCGATCGATACGGAGGGGCCGAACTCTGATGTCTCTATTTTCTGGGAAGATCAAGAGGAGGTATACGATTCACCAGCTTCGGATCTAGTAGATGGTGGCCCATACAAGACCCCTTTTCTGGCAATCCCGCTGGCCTGCCGTGAAACTGGCGTTGACTTTGATTCGGATGAGGTGACAATTTTCTGTATAGTGGTAAAGGCGGTGGAGAATGACTTGATCTCATCTGGTGAAGTTCAGACATTTCAGAGGGTTGGATGCACAACTTTAAATCTGCATGATGCAGATAGAGACTATTTGAACAATCTGGGATTATATCATTGGATGAATGGCTATGCTAAGGATTTGCAGCATAAGTTAGAAGATATAAAACTTATTTAAATTGACAATGACCTCTTAAATAGTAATAATAAATCACTTAAGAAAACATTGGGATTTATTAAAATCATAGTTAAGTAACCAGTGAGATAACCAAAGCAAGCATCTACATAGATAGCCCGACTTGTAGGGATAGAGCAGAAAAGATATACGATGGCTGGCTGGTAATCCTATCGCCCTCGTTTTCCTCGTCATCGAACATGACGACGCCTTGCAGGCGACCAATGCAACCTCGGGCAAAAAGTTCCTTTGTGATGCTGCTGACTTGAAGGTTAACGATATCTTCTTTTTCATTAAGGAACCACTCCGTCGTCTTCAACAGTTCCCAATAATGGCAGACCTTGTTGATCGAATAGCTACTGATATTGCGATAGCGAAGAATGAAGCATCGGCGCTCTTCTAAGCGGCTGAGGTCTGTTTACCGTGGTGACTTGCGGAGGGTCCTCTGATGCACAATCACAGCTGACCAAAATGGTGGCTTTGCTGGGAATGTGCGCTATGATGTAAAGGCTGCGTTAGATAAATAGGGAGGAGAAGTTGCGGGCAAATAGTATGTCTAGAGGAAAGGAGTATTTCCTTGTCTTGCTTGCCGTAGATAGTTGGGTCTGTCAAACTCGCAGTGGCTTTGGTCTGGATGTGTCTTTAGGGAGAATGTTCAGCTGTGGATGTAGTAGTCAAGTTAAGAATTGTTACAGGGGTATATTCTTTTCTCAAGAACAGAGGCCTTCTTTTTAAGACGAAAAACCCTTCAGCCCTGCTTCTCAATATGCTTACGCTTGTCCTGCACTTAACGGGCCAGGTGTGAGAAATCTAGATCATCCCTATCGCATTTAGCAGAGTCGGGAATGCAGACGCTGTCACCCGTCAATGCGAGATTGACAAACTCGGCCATGCAAGGCCCCATTTTGATGGCCATGTGGTGTTGTGTCTGCTCTGTGACGATCAGCTTACCCCGGTATCTAATGTTGATCGTGTGGGCAATACCCACTGCAACAAGACGCGAGGGAGAGACGAGGATCTGCTCATGGCTAATAGCCCGATCGCATTTCCCAATTGACCAGTCCTTGCCAATAAAGCTCTTGAACTCGGCCTCAGCTTCCAGCAAGATCAACACCCAGATCTTAATCCCCACAAGTACATTATTTACGTATTGCAAGCCATGCACCGGACCGCCCTTATCTGTAGAGGATAAAATATCTTCCATATGCATATTTGCCGAAATGATAGTGCGTCTCCCAGAGGTCCTTTAGTAAAGGCTTATCCCGGACATGCTGTCCGCATCGGTGCTTTCTGGCGTGGCGGTCATGGCGGAGTTGTTGGTGAAGTTTAGATCTTGCCGAATATTAACCGAAACATGGGGCATCAGTGCGCCGCTTAACAGAACAGTGACTGAATGAGACCAATGTCGGTACATCATTTGCAATTGGTCAGATGTGGTGATGGTGGTGGTGCCGCGCTAGGGCGTGTCTCACTAGCCCAATACAAAGGAATTGGACGGTCTCTTTAGGGTAGGTCAAAATGCAGTAATAAAATTCGATTTATTGCAGGTAGTGATAAACCAATTACTAAAAGAAATTTATTGACATTCTTCACAGCTCTACCACTTACTAGCATGCCTCAGATAGCTGTTGCAATACTCTTAAATGCGATTTAGTGTTTTTCAGACTAAGTCTGGTTACAGGTCTCGGACTCAATGGCTCACAATGCGATCAAACTATAGCCGTGGAACAATATAACTAGAAGGGATATTTCACTTAAAGATATTGAATGGATAAATTAAAAGTATTATATCTGGCATATCTGCCTATAAGGAACATTAAATTAAGAGTTTTATCCAATACACCGAAGTCTAAGGAGATTTCAGCTTAGCAACTCGGAATTCCGGAGCTTGAATACAGTAATGCGGAACAAGACACTCTCTTGGGGAATATATAGATGCAGCAAGTCATACGAATTCAACTAAGCGCAAATTCGTTTATGCTTGATTGATTATTCATCACGCAGCAAGCGGATTTCCAAATGCCACTAATAACTCTTATTCTCCTCTCGCATTACGCAATAATAACATGCCAACCTCATGGTGGCTTGACACGTCTCGCTGAGGCGTCATAAGCTTTAAGTATCAATCAACCAGCCTCATGACTTTTGGTAGTTTCACTCAAACCTCTACCAATTCATGAGCTCCTGTAAGAATTGACAATAGGATTCAGGCAAATCAGGACTTCTTCCTCTACCGTAAGTGTACAAGACTCAAATCACGACAGGTTACCACAATCTTCATTATGATTTATATCATTCTACGACAGGAGATATTTATATTATCCACCTTAGCTATCAATATACTGTGTTTTTTACCCATCGAGCTGGGTAGTATTCTCTAGCAACCACTTCACAGAGCTGAACGGAGTTCCGATTCCCGGAAGTGCGATCTGCGGTGCTTATAAGCAGCTTAATGTTATCTCTTGCGCTTAGTATATTGGCTCTTGTGATGTTTGAAATGTCAGTTCTGCTGATTATGAGGGTGCACAGGAGGAGTACTCCCAACGCTGTATCCTCATGATGCCGATTTAAGGGCAATGTTAGTTATCGGGAGGTGCAAATGTTCTACGGACCTGAGACAAGTGATTGCCTACTCCTCTGGATAGCTCCGTATCCTCCCCGACACAGTATTCAGCCCTGAGCTTCTAAGAATAGAGTACACAACATAATAGATCTCATATTGGGGACACACAAGCCACTCCGGCCTTTTCCCACCGCGACTCGGTGATCTCGAGTTTCTGTCCGTGTCCTCTCCTCCACCTTTATTGCTATGTCGTTGTATGTGCCCACAGCTGGATTCGCGCGTATATTGAGGCGTTGTATCTTTCAAGGTCTCCATTCTGCGAAGCTAATATGGCCTCGGCTGTAATCATCCAGGAGACTCGCTACGTGTTATTGCCATGGAGGCGCTGTCACCTCAACTCGTTCGACTCCCCGGGTCGTTGACACACCCGCTTCACCTTCCCATCGGCCACAGGAGAAAGCGGTTTGCTGGCCAAGGATTCGCAATCATCTTGCTGCATGATTGCGGATGAAAACAAGACTTGAGTCTCGGCCAACAGACCGAAGGGGGCTCCGTGACAGCTGTCACCAGTGTAGCTGATGCCGTCACCAATGTGGTTCTCTACGTTCTTGCATCTTTATTACCTCTTTCTTGATAAGAACCTGGCAGCTACAGATACCGCAGCCGTTTCATTCTGGGTTATCGCTTTTAAAACCGTTACACCCTAGCTTTCAATACCCGAGAAAGTCGTAGAAGCCACTGCCGAAGCCAAAATCTTGAAATATTGTTCGCTGAAGGTCAAGGTCTCATGATTTCTTCCCACCAAAAAGGACGCGCCACATGAACTCGGCTAGGTAACCAGTTAGTCTCCCACGATTATCTATGACGCGACCGCGAGGCACACTCCTCGTAAATCATTGCACCAACTAACAAAGTCTCTTTCTAATGTCAGAAAAGCGTCTTCTTTTGGATATTGAATAAGAGACATAAAAGCAGTCGACGGCTAACGATCAGTCGGCACAATCCAACGATGGTGTTCACGCGGTGTTGAACTTCACTTTGGCCAGCTCAAAGTCTTCGTCACCATCAACCCAGAGCTACCTTGTTATCAAAGCCCTGCACCTCCTGATCAATATCTCGCCAAGCTCGTAGGTGTTTAATCGAACAAACATATGGAGTACTTGATCGATGATACAAGGTCGTGTGCTTTGTTTAGTTAGCACGTGATTACCCAAGACTTAAAACGTTTTGTCATGAACGGTGAGGGGGATTATGGCGATGGCGGTATGTAATCTAAGTACCTATGGTTTAATTCGGGTTCTACGTCTTCTTTGGACTTGCGCTGTGATACTTTGCCCAATAATAGCATCGTGCGATTTCGGATCTCTTCAGCAACGGCCCTGTAGATCAACGCACGAGATTGTGTAGCGATGCCCCCTACAAAGAGGTTATCCGTGTTATGGCGTGGAGATCGACTCGGCCGACCATATCCCTTCTAGCAACTCTTCACTGTCATGACTCATGGGAACCGGCTTATTCTCCACGGCCTCGGTTCCTGTCCTGTGATCGACAAACCCGCAACGATATACGGGGGCAGACATTGACATCGAGTTCACAATGCTATTGATGTAGTACTACATTCTGAACCAATATCCGCCATATGATCAGAAACAATACAGACTTTGATGTCGCCAACCGCTTCGCAACTAATTGTGGTCTCAAGAAACTCAGCAAAGGTATCGATAAGATCGATAATGAACCTAACTACAATAGGCCCTTGGGATGCTTGAAGGATGCCCAGCAACAAGAAAAGCATGCTTAGAGGCTGGTCGTAAAGATGATGGAGTCGGCCTTGGATATTGCCGTGCATGGGGAGGGCGGCCAAGGAGAGTGAAACTATTCCCCTATAACTCTAGCAAGCCGGCGAAGTTCAAATTGACTCCATGACCAAGCCCAGAAGGTCCGTGCTGTTAGCCAAGTGCATGTCGGAGAACTTTAGACATGGTGGCGCTTAGTTTGGCGATGCCCATGAACGGAATCCTAAGAGTCTTGTCTTGCAGCATATCGTTTTACATCAAGGTCATCACCAGGGTCATGCTCAGGTGCGGCATGACCCAAGGATCAATGCCAACGGCTGATGAGACCCAGAGGAGGGACACAAGGTCGTGTTACGAGGTCGTGTTACGAGGTGTGTGCCGAACCTGGTAGGTTAATGTATATGGAGCTGCACTAATCCGCGGACACTGTACCGTGTATGGCTTTCGTGAAGTATAAGACGACGGCGTCATGGAAGGCATAGAAACAAACGCCGGAGAGGCGCGAGGGACTTCAAAGCCGAGTCTGGCCCGAGAATCCGTTCAAGGTGACCACGTACATCATGTGTGTCGAAAGCACGAGGCTCTTACTTCTTCGAGAGCTGTCACAACAAAAGTGCCCGAAAGTGGACGGTTTTGGGTTTTTTTGCACTGCTCTCATCAGCAGCTGGCTGACTCCGATTCCGACGCCTACAGATCATCATGCGCCCTAAGTGAAGCCATGACTTCAAAGCCTCTGGAGCTGTTATGGATGTACATGTGCATCTTTTACATTGCCTCTTTGCGTGCGTGGAACCCTTCAGGTGTAATATCCGCGTTCTCAGGGTCAAACGGCCTCCAGCCTGCGTTATGTAGCCAAGGTTCTGACCGTTGAAGTTTAAGCTCATGGTGTGACGGAAGTGGTTCCTAGAAAGGGAAGCATTTCCAGCGTTCAAAGAGATGACATATCCTGAGAGTGACGTGGATTGTAGCGTACGGAGAGTGACAAGTTTCTGAGACTATATGACGCCGGTGACTGCGTGACTTATTTGCCTAGTCTCTATCCAAAGCCTTAGTCTGGCCATTTGATATCTGGAGGACGAATGCCTCAGGCCATGGAATCAAGCCACCCTCCAAGGAATCGAGTATTCTTGACGATTAGAACCATCCCCAGAGCTTGGATTATCGACATGAGTCAATCACGTCGTTTTGTAACCACACGAAATATCAGCATGTGCGCGACCCTCTTATTCATGGTATCGGCTCTACTTTGAACTGTCTGAACGCGTGTCTCACCCAATTGACCTGTTTCCACTCACCGTCATCCATGGCGTCTCCTCAAACACCAGAGGGACGCAAAACAAAGGGCCTCCATCAGTGACCTCAACCTCACGACCTCAGATGTAGATTTGCGAAGAGATACTCTCAAGCTTTGGGGTCATCCTGGCTTCCAAGCGGAACCAGTATCATAGCGCAAGGGGATTAAATCCCGCACTTTGGCCTGGGGGCAGTCTGGAGCATCAAATATGTAGCTGTACAACTAAAGAACTTGGAAGACGATGTTCCTTGTATGGTTTTCATATTGCGGCTTTCAGTAAATGAGGGTATGAAGGACGAAACGAAGAGCAATCAACCGCAAGTGGAAGAGTACAGCTGTGATTGACAACGACTACTATAAGGGAGATGATAAAGTCACAATCGAAGATCTGGAAATACTCCATTCAGTGCCACAAGACCCCATTGACATCTAAAGCAAAAACGCCAGTCTATTATCCCGGATCAAATCTATAAAACACCAAACACTCCCAAAAGCAGTCAGCAATATTCTATGAGTTACCAAATACTCCCAAAACAGATCCACAAATCATCATCATCTCATTCTCTAAAACCGCAGACTCAAATCCACCCAAACGTGTTACTCATCATCACCAGTCAGATCGATCTCAAGACATCCATTCGACATGGTCCGAACAGCATAGCGAGGGGGCTCTGGAGCAGATTCAAGTGTTTGAGGCATCCCCTGCGCGGCCTGGTTGATATTCGCCGGGTCCAGGATTTTCTGAGCCGCGAGGGTATCTAAATCGTCAGCAGGATTCATCTCATCAATGTAAGTGACATGCCTGGTGAGAGATAAACGAAATCGAAGCATCCAATGGCTTCTCTCACTTCAACGTCATAGTACCCAAAGTGGACGGGGACATCAACTTGCTGAAAGCTTTTGGGAAGTTAGTCATGACCTTCTGCAGTTCGATTTGTACTTACCCAGTACCGTGTGTTTGTCCGTTTCCGTTGAGAATTAACGCTTTGGTGGATAGTTGCAAAGAGTTGATGCTTTCCGCTTCACCACTAGCATTGTGCAAAGGACCGTGCTTGGGATCGTAATCTAAGGTCTTGGCTGATGTTAAAACAACTCTGATTGTCCCAAGTGTCTTGACAAGCTGCATGTCAGCCTGGAGGGTCGCGGCAGTAGTGCACTCAGCTACAGCGACATTAGTTCAGAATTTGTCAAGATAGCAGAGATACTTACTAGGCGCAAGGTCTTGAAAGTAAAAGGTTTCAGTGACTCTGTTACCATCCGCATAGTCCCGATGTCGGTGGGATATGTACTCGATAAAATCTTGTTCACGGACAAGATGTTTGAAAACCAGAGACTCTTCAATGAGGTTCCCATCAATATAGGTGGAGACCAAAAGCGTATCGGTATTGTCGCCAAAGGAGAAATAAGGGGATAGAATCGTATCGAGTAACTCTGACCAGTCTCTGAGGCGATGAAGCAACGAATGCGAGGTACATTCTCGAACCCAGCGTCATACGGGATAGGGATGTGTGGGGGTTGGTATTCATCCGCTGGCTCCCCGTTAACGACGATGGTGGTGGAGAAGGCTGGAACTGCTGGAAGAATAGCCATTGTTGCGTGTTGGTGTGGGATGGAGATGGTAGAAAGAAAGGAGTAAATGTAAAAACGGTAGAAATATATTCTGTACAGATGAACTTCTAGAAGACGTGGAAGAAGCGTTGGAGAAGAGAAGATGGTTCCAAGCGGCAGAAACAGGACGTTTTATATGTCTCCATGGTTCAGTCCATCTCATCGGTAACGCAAATATCATCGTCAAAAGTTTGGAACATGTTCAAAGAGATATGCAGCTTCTGATGAGCTACTGCAGGGTCTTTTGTGAGTGGTTATGCATGCTGCAGCTTGATCAAAGGGGTTCTGCTGCAGCAGAGTTAATCAGCACGAACAACTCATCAATCTTTGTGCGGCTTCAAAGAGCTACATATGCTGCTTACTCGATCCCTTTATGCAGAAGCGTGGTCAAAAGAGAATTGAATGAGAAATGCGACAAATGACAGCGAAAAGAGGCGCAAGGTTCAGTGATACGAATATGAAAGATAACGGCTGTTTGTTTCTTTGCTGGTAGTGTCACCAGATCGTGGCTTATGCGCGTGGTTTTTTGACACGTGCAGTGAATGGTGAGACTTGCATCGCGATAGCTTCAATGTCGTCGATGGAGTGCGATCCTTGTCTTCAATACAGTAGAGACAAAGATGTCGCTGGCTTTCTCACTGCAGCAATCGCAGACGTTAACACAGATGGGCGCCTTTCGTTTCCCCGCTCAGATACGTCATGTCAACCCAAAAAGAGCACTAAATGGAACGGATAGTGACCGCAAGTTTGTAGATCTTTGGTCTTTTCAAGTCAATTGGATAGTCAAATGTTCAGTCTCCCGCTCACATAGCAACACCGAGAGTAGCCATGGCCTCACAGCCAAGTACATATTCTCCTTGAAGCTATCACCATACTCATGCTCATTGCGTGTTTCCAAGCAAAATGACTAGCAGACTATTCAAGTAAACATCTGCTGATGCATCTGACAAGTGAATGGATATGTTCCTAACCACTCCCAGCTCGTCTCCTTGCCGTATTCCAGTGCACTCCGTTATCGGGCATCGCTATTTTTTCTGTTGCTGCATTCCCAGAACACTGATACGAGATGGCGAGTATATAGATCCCTCAGACCGCTAATTATTCTCTTTCGTGACAGATCCATCAACCTGCTCAATTGCTTAGATAGAACCAGTACTAAAGGGTTCAAGGTAGGGCGTTTCGGGACTGACGATCGAGCTGCCGGAGAGCTGGCGCATGACATCCTTATCTATGAGAGTTCCATCCACGGACTGCATTTTTTGTATTGCTATTGTGTCTCAGTTTATTCCTGGCCGTTTTCGGGCGGGAAGTGCAGAGACTATTAGTAACAGGCTGACGCCCGGAAGTGCCAGGCTCGTTCAGCTCTGAATAAGCTGGGGGTAGATAGCCTTCATGCAGGAAAGGCGCGGCACTGAGACCGGGCCAGGCGAACCTATACTATGCGGCACCCCGAAGTACGCTAGACGCTGGGCCGCCTGGCAATCTAACTTGCATCAATTCTGGAAATAGGTCTGGCCTGCTCTGGAGCTGCCACACGGGTTGAGAGAAGTGAATCCCGAGTCTGCTCCAAGACTCAGGATAGTACCAGTAGGTAGCGCTCACAGTGTTCTGGTGATCTTCCCTAAGCCTTTCAGATCATCTCATTGACATATGACTTTTGTGGTACCTTATCCGAAATATGGATGTCTGTTTCAACCATTAGCACCATAATTGCACACAGTAGTGCTTGACTTTCACTCTATACTGTAGTTCTTTATCCACGATATAACACAGTCTATCGATATCAGGACTATCGAGCATGAGGAAAAGGCGTAAATCGTCTTTTATATCAGCATTCATACCGAATTCATATACATTTTCTCCATGTAGTGCGTCCAGAACCTATACGACTTGTAGCTTATCCACATAATGGCGCATATAGCACCTGAGATTGACCAGAACCTTCCAAAGTCCGGGTTTCCAGGGCCCCAGCTCGTCTGCATACCAAGAATTGCAGCCAAAGCATTGAAAGGAAGCACAATGGTGGCAATGACAGTCAAGAATGATAGCCTATCATTCTGCTTGACGGACTGCTCCCCCTTCCTAATCTGAATCATAGAGGTGACAAGGCCTAGAGTATCGGATAGTCGGACTGCATTATCCAGTATATGCTCCTGACCTGTTCGAAATCTCCTTCCACATGAGACCTCGCTTTCTCAGCTGCAGGTGAAGATGTTGCGATCCAGGCTTGTGACAAATACTTGCGGAAGAGGTCTAACTGTTCTTCAACTAAACCCTGGTACTTGCGAATCCGACGACGTAGAATGAAAAGTTTCTTGAGGGAAGCGCCCAGTGTCAGCATGCCTGGCTCATCGTTCTCCAGCCTCCATTCGAGCGTGTTCAGGTCCTGCTCACCGTAGGCGCTGGCGGAAATCCACTCAGTTGCTATAATGCGAGCCACGGCTTGAGTTATGATTAGGAGATGAAAATCACCCCCTTGAGCAAATTCATCCATTAGAATATGTGCTAGAGAGTCTCGGTAGTTGCATCTAGGCTCTTGATCTCTTCCCTCTACTTCGTTTGGTAATGGGCGGCAGATGAAGGAACGGTACGCCGAGTCAGCTCTTGTGCCGTACATGGTTTCGCCATCTTCAGGTTCGAAAGGAGGGTCAACCAGTATTATTGCTGCATTTACGTTATTAGGTGCTTCTTCTGTTTTCTTTTCTCTCTTATGTTGTCCACGCAAGTATAGTCTGGGGAGCATATCTTACCTTTCGTCCACTCTGAATGAATGGAATCGTCAGGCTGTTTGACCCAGACAGAAGCGCAATGGCGCGCCATTGCAACGTTATCAAATTGCCGACCTCCTTTGCCTAGTTTTCTGGTTATAGGAACATGAAGCCCCGCAATTCGCTCGACGTTCATTTTCTCCATATCGGGCTTCATGCGCTCCAACAAATTGCCAGAACCTTCCCTTCTGTACTCTCTGGGTCCAATAAATCTAAATGAGACATGATCGTAACGAGTGTTCGTGGACTTAAGAATAGGCAGGTATCCGTCAACAGCCTGGTGGCGGTACCATGCCTTGGTAACCAGATCGGTCCTGGGTGATGTTTCCTCTTTCGTGATATCCATCTCGGCCGGCACGGCATCGATATAGTCAAGGAAGAACTGGGGATCGATATCCCAAAGCGCCAAGGAGACGGATTACCTTGGGAGTTATGTTTTCAACGATAAAGATTTGGCGAGAAGAATCCATATCGACCTTGGAAGCGAGTTCATGTTCCTTTATATTAGGGGTAAGAGTCGGATTGCTAGACCTGTCGAATGATATGAGTGATAGTTTCGCGTCTTCGATATGGAATGGAACCCCGTTTGGCCCTGGATAACTGTCGAGATGCAGGAAACTGTCAATGACCTTATATCTCTGGAAGATTCTGGAAGTCATCGCTCTCTCAGCAAGGGATGCAATGAAGTTGGCGTACTGCTCTTCGGCCTTCTTAACCGCAACCTGTCCCATATTCACATCTGTAGCCATCTCGAGAGAGATACTATGTGTTTCGCTTTGCTTGACCAAGTTCCTCAATTTCTTCACTCGAATTTCATACCATGCTCCTCCTGCGCCCACTCCCACGCATTTAAATACACAAAAGCCAAAATGCCAACGTGTCAGCTGAGTCTACCACACACCAAAACAGTGATACTCAAGCCACTCGGGCGCAGTTGGGCATGGCGCGGCTGCCTAAAGACAGGATAAGGCAGACATTGCTGACCCCCACGGATTGAACGCGACTACCGTGCAGGGGTGAATATTGCATTTCTGTTCTTTAAACGATCCCAGTCACAACCTGTCAGAATTACAAAAGCGAAAAGATGCTGTGAAGGCCACCGGGGAGCCGGGGTATCATCCGATACCAGGCCTGCGGCATGCTGCATTACTGCAAGCCATGACGGAAGCTATTGGTCTTGAATAATGCACTATGGCTTGCAGTGGCTTAAACATGGCTACAACAAAGCTTCTCCTGTCTCATTCTCATCCACTGCCTCCCCTCAGAGTCCGCCAGCGGCAGGCAACGGCAGCCAGTGCCAAGTCAGCTGTTGGTCGATTACTTATAGACCGAGTAAGTATGCCTACTGACTCCGAATGATAGGTGATGTTGCCTTGTAGGCGAGCTTGAGCATCCCTTTCCTCTGCAATTTGGTACTTGAATGGCATGCTATGCGTCAACTCTGCCATTGAACCCCTATGCTACTCTAGGCTGGAGCTGCAGTAATTCTTAGTCGATTTAGTGCTCAGCCTCAGTTGAGGCTGAAAGCAGTGCACTGAGCTCTGCTAATTATAATTCAGGCATATCAAGAGCGTCAGCAGTTACTGAGCCAAGGCGTGGTGCCGTAAGGCGTTCTAAGCCGGTATGTTGGTTAATTTTCTCGCCTGCCAGTATGATTGTGCTAAAATTTTCAATCTCTGTATACTATCTTAGAGCGCCTGAATTCGAGGTAAGATGCCTCTATGTTGATTGTCATCGGGTTTGGCCCTGTTACTGATAAGGACCAAGAGTCAAGTCTCATCATCTCTTTTACCATTGAGCTTGCCTTCTGCTTAACAATAGCTAGTCTACATTGCCTATTAGAGCCAGTGAGACTGGATATATACCTGTCTACGGCTTATATCTCTCTTCATTCCAGTAAGGGAGGATATTCCACAACGTTCGGTGTCTTTCTCAGGTCATGTGCTGTCCCGGGATGTCATTTCGTTCAATATGGAGACATTTTTGTCCTTTTTTCTATGTGCATCTCAGACATGAACGCCCAGATTCAGCCTTCTGCCACAAGACCTGTAGAGCGGAGATCTGAATCATGCGAGGCGGACGGCAATAAGTGAGGGCACCCGAGTTCTTATCTAGAGGCCCTGGGTATCTCACCTGATCTCCCTGTTATATGTAGCGCAGCAGCAACTTTGTCCCTGCCCCAGATTATGTTCCTTGGGTTACACCATTAGGGGCATTTTATCGCCGACTCACTACATTTCCCTGGTTAGCACGGCAAGCACAACAAAGGATGAAGTAATCATTACTCCTATGTAGGCCTTTAGTAACTTGTGGTACATAAAATGCCGGTAGAAGGGCGGCCGAGCCAAGGGCCAAGTCCGAGGGTAGGAATACCGATAACGGACTCCATATGGCTGTTACGCTATGTCTAAAGTACAAGAGGGCCAGATCAAGCTGGCGTGATTTATAGGAATATCAACCCCAGATTCATGTCAAGTCGATATATACTGTCGTAAGTGCCAAGCTCTTAACATGGAGGAGTCGTGTTGTATCTCACCTTATCCGGTCGCTCCCCAGTTCAGCCGCTTTCCTGGCCAGAATATAGCTTCCCAACTCATTAGTTGCACACAGGCACCAGGAGGAAGTTGTAAAAATGTGTGCGAGCGGAATGCAGTTAATGATGTCTTGGTGGTGAGTGACCTGCCGGGAACAGGAGGCCAAGAAGCGCAGTCACGGAGTTTTCCTAGACTTCTTGGCTGTGATTACACAAAGGTCACTAGTTGCCATGGTAAAGAATAATCAGATGATCTCTATTTCCGTTCCCATCTGAAGTTCCCCGATGGGATAGCTAGGATACCGTTTCGCCGATGCTACTGCATGTTGGTGGTCAACACATGCAGGAATGCGGCACGGACTTACGATAGGGGGACCAGTAAATAATCCAAGGGCATCCCAATGACATTGTGTAAAGCCTTAATGAGGACGGTTAATTCAGAGTTTAATTGTACTGGTAAACTTGGGCGGCGATGATGAATGAAAACGACTACGTTGGATCCGGGGCGGCTACTAAAATCCTCGATATATATTAGTGTTCAGTGTCAGCTCCAAGGCCCCATAGTTTCTTGCTCCACAAACAAGCATATTTCGGCCAAGTGTTGTTGTTAGGTTCTAGGAAATTAGATTAGATATTACCAAATACGGAAGGTGTGTTGATTGTTGCGTTTCAGCCTCCAGACAAAAGCAGAAACGCAATTCGGCTAAATAGGAATTACTCGTTAAGATTTGTTATAAGAGGGAACTTGGTTCCAAAGCTAAATACCTACTCATCCCATCACCACTCGGCTAAGTATTGCCACACTCTTTAGTATAGGTACTCTTCACGAAAATAACATGGAATCTGAACGCGACAGCACCCCGCCTATCTGGCGTAAGCCCATAAACACAGTGGATGCTGTTGCTCGGCCCACCACCGTTGAGTCTAGGTCTGTTGAACCTGCAAGTGAGCCGCTTCTATTGGATCAAGAAACCGACCTAGACACTACTACAAAAGCTTTTGATCAAAAGCAATCCGCCAGCGCTGTTGGTGTAGTACCTATCAACGACCAAATTCACAGGTTGACTTTGAATCAGGAAGATTCTGCCATTGGGGGATACAGGACAGAGAAAGTCATGCCGTGCGCGGAAGCCACTGTTATAAGTAGGGTAAGCTGGGAAAACACCCTACGACGTATTATCAAGGGTTGGTGGCAGGAGATGCTTTGCTGTTTAGTCAGCTTCGTCGCTCTAGTAATCCTAACATTGACCCTGAGGAAATTCAACAATCAGCCTCCGCCTAATTGGCCATCCGGTATCACTCTGAATACAGTTCTAGCTTGCATATCCACCATATGCAGATCCGCACTACTTATTCCTGTGACTGAAGGTCTAGCACAAGCCAAATGGGTTTGGTTCAAGCAGCCACGGCCACTCAAGGACTTTGAAGCATTTGACAAGGCATCAAGAGGCTTAGGGGGCAGCTTAAGCTTGCTCTCACACACCAAGGGATGGTAAGCACTGCCTCCCAGATACCAAGTTCATATGGTTACTCACAAAAATAGGTTCGTTGGTATCATTGCTGCATTTCTGTTGAGTACCACGACTGCCACATCAACAATCACACAATTTGCGATCACATACCCGTCTCGATTCAACCAAGATGGAAGCAAGGGAAGTGCAGAGGCATGGAGGCTAGGGGAGAGCTGGGGGAAAGACGAGCCGGATTACGCTATTAGTAAGTCATCCACTTCCTACCACTGGCTTCTAGCAACGAACATGTCGCAACATTTGACTGGTACTTGTCTGACAAATACGCATAGTGAACGAGCTAGCAATTTCAAGAGGTGTCAGACGAGGAATGAATAATCTGGTGACCGAAACAATTCCCTTCAAAGAACCGAAGTGTGCCTCAGCCAACTGTAGATGGCCAGAATTCCACACGCTTGCTATAGGATATGAGGCTACGAGTACGTTATTTGTCACCCCTTCAAGACTGTTGCCTGTTGTATCTAACGTCTTCTCGAGATGTCACACACCTGGTCGAGGCGGATGTCAATTTCCACGATGGCAATCCTAATATCACTCTGCCGAATGGTGTTCATACGGAACCGGGCAAAGGTCGTGCCAGATTCACTGGCGCCCCAACATTTTTCCTTGGTAGCGGGCCAACTCTAGTACATCAGCATCTGCAAAATGTATCAATTCTCGATTATTTTGCCATTTATTGGGATGCATCTAATCTCGTCCCTTGGGCAGTCGAAGTATCCTACTATTGGTGCATTGACACTTACCATCCTGAACTAGTCGACAACGTCCTTCGGATGAACAAGTCAACATCTCAGATCCCAAAGCTACACACATTGCAAGGGGATGACTATCGTGGATACGTGTCTTTGGAAACACCAGGCAAAGGCGACGTCATATGGACCATTGGCAGGCTATCTACAAGAACGATAGCAACTCAGTTAAACGATTCGCTAAGCGGCTACACTGTCATTCTAGCGGGAGAGCCGATGCGTGGTACATCAGGCAGTGATATCTTAGCACTAGCCACCCAAGAGGTTTTACAAAACCTTACAAAGGGCAATGCCACGCTTGTAACCCAGGAGGCAGAGAGAGCTTGGTGGACCGCCGTGGAGGGCATGGCGGCGAACGTCGCTAACAGTCTCACAAACACGTAAGTTCAACTACTTCTCTATGTGTTGCGCCATATCCTAATACCAGCTCGAACAGACTCCTTCCAAGTCAGTCCAACGTCGATGGTGTTTCGTTAGATACCGAGGTATACGTCCAGGTCCGATGGGAATGGCTGGCACTTTTAAGTTTGCAGGTTACCCTCTCTATCTGTCTTCTGATTTGCATTGTTGTTAAGTCGTCGAAAGCAGAAGTAGAAATTATAAAAGGTTCTACAGTGCCAGTATTGTTTGCTATCAGTGCGGTAGATAAGGCTAGGATGGAAAATGGGGACATAGATTTAGATTCATTGAGACAGATGAAGAATCATCAGCACCTGGCTCACGTTAACTTACACAAGGTCGGTCAGAAATGGGTTCTGCAGTAGAGATAGCTCCAGTCAGACGATTCTGATTATTCAGTATCATAATTCCTCTGGTTTTCAACACGTCCAAGTTCGAGTGAACCGACACCACAGATCGAGTCGATGTGCACGCCTCTGAACTCGGCCATCAGGGGGGCTCCATACTTGGAAAAGCTCAATCTACAGTTCTCTATATTCTAGTCTCTTCAGGTTTATTGGTTTGAGCTCTAGACCAAGCGATCAGGGTAAAACCATATTTCGTAAGCAGCTATCGTGCAGTAGTAGGCTAAATGCAATAGTAAGCTGACTGCGCCGATGCCAGTAAGAATCCTTCAAATCCCGTCAGCTTACTTATTAACAGAATACCATAAAGCACCTCATTTCAGTCCAACCCTGATAAAAATCTTACATCGCGATGCTCGTAGTAACTAACAACTATTACGATGTCGTCTTCATCCCAGCTCAATCCTGAGCAGGCACAAGTCTTAGATATCGTCCGTGGCTTCCACGAGTATTTCAGTTCTCCGCCCCCATTCAAAGAAGGCCATCATTTCACCCTACCCCATGGCCTAATCACCGTTCCTTTCCCACCAGAGATAGGTGGTCTCAAGACAGAACGCTTTGATGATATGTATGAGCGCGTTGGTAGATTGCTCGCTAAACAACAAGAGTCCGGCTTCAAACATGAATTGGCAGAACCAGGTGCGGAGGTATGGGTATCTCAAGATATAGCTGCTGTGTTTGTGGGTTGGTCTGCCTCCATGGATGCCCGTGGCGAGTTTGTCCACACTGCTCACCTGTGCACCCTGCACCGTCAAATCCTGAGCGACGGAAATCCATGGCGTATTTCAGCATTGGTTGATATGATGCATTTATCACCTGAGCAGCCAGTGCCGTCAGTCGAGACAGGCCCAGTGTCAGAGATCATCGCTCCATTCCAAGAGTTTCTTGCGAGCATTAAAGCTCAAGACTGGGAGGCGAGCCGTGCCCTGCTATTACCTGGTGCAGGGGCTACGATATCGAAAGATGGTCATGCACCAGAGACATTCATGTGGCCGGAATTCATTGAGCATCTACAGCAAGAAGCTCAGAGTGAACCGAAAATTGAGAAGCGGCTTCTTAACTGCGAGGCACGGCGTTGTAGCGATCTAGGCTTCGTTTGGGCACCGTTCGTGGTTCAGGTTGATGGTGTTGAGATTTCACATGGAGTATGTGTCTGCTCCTTTAGGTTGGAGGGAGGACGATGGCTTATTAGTAGTCTTTGCGAGACGAGCTATACTTCTTAACCTGCGAACTGGCCTTCAATGATATATGAACTCATAAATAGCATTTCTTTATTGCATCAGTCTGTCGCAGTACACCATTGCCCTGTGAAACGATGCGTTCGCTCCCGCCTCTACCACCCTTCATCCCATAAAGAGTTATTAACTTTAATAGCACATAATTGTTCAGCTCACGTTCTGAAGAGAGGTTGAGAAACATACTACCGCTGTTTAGTCTAAGATATCTCCTCAGGTCGACATTTATGGATAAAGCCGCGCAGAGGCGGTCAAGGTTCGCGACTGACGAATCCCATGTTTCCCATGTTCGGTTGGAGACCAACAGCATCAGCTGATACTCGAGCAAACTGTGAGAGGAGCTAATGAAAATTCTGATGAGTGAACTCGAGACTATTCGGTCCTTGTACAAAAGTCCCGGATTGCACCCCCAGCGATCCGCCGTCCATCTCCCTTCAGCAACATTTCTTTTCTTACTAATTCTCTACTTATAACCAAGGAGTTTAGTCATGCTGCACGATGTCTCTTTCATTAGTCTGTGTGATTCGTCATCTAATAATTATCAACATGTCCAAGTTCGGGTTGGCAGATTGCCTACGTCTCTGAACTCAGCCATCAGAGCACTCCATGCTTGGAAGTGCTCTGCCTTCTCATCCTCTATATTCCAGTCTCTTCAATTTACGGTCTCCGTAATCTCGTTCACAAGGCGCAAAAGCCTTTATCTCTCTCAAAGCCGTTTTTGTCGCTTGCTATCGTTTTCATCATCTTCACCATAACCCAGAATCTTCAGGGCCTCTTTCACCGTAAGTCTTGATTCGCGCTGTGCCGACGTCTCAGCATACGGATGCCGCACCATGCCAAGAACAGCCTCTCTCAAAGCTAGCAACAAAATCAGCACCACTCTTACAGAATAGAATTAAGGTCATACCCTCGTCATGAAGCTTGTTTAAAGTATCTAGAGCTTCTCCATACATATCGTGAAACTCTTTCTGCAACTGACTAGCTTCAGGGTTAGGTCTCCAAGGATTCTTGACCTGTCGCCACGGATGCTGCCCTGAAATCATCTCAATACCCATGACGCCGATACTCCAGATATCAGCTAGCTCGTCATACCCCGTCATTTCCCGCTCAGGTGCTAGCCATCCGATCGTTCCGCCGGTCCCAGGCCGAGCGAGATGATATCGTCCTGGAAAAGGGCTTTCCTCTGCATCGTCGAGATCGAGCAACACCACGGATATGCACTCGCTGGTCCAAGTACGAATGCCGACGTTGACGGGTTTGAGATCGCCGTGTATCCAGCGGTGTCTATGGAGGAAGTTTGTGGCGCCGAGGATGTCTGCCAGAACGGTTGTGACGATGGATATCCTGGTTGGTAAGCTCGTGCGGTAAAGTCGTACTATAGAGCTGATCTCACCTCTCTTGACCTTGTTTGAAGAGCCCCCGGGTGAGGGCAGTTGAAAGTACTTCCTGGGCAGCTGGTTCTTGAACAAACCAGACGTCTGCTATCCTATTCGCTGATTTCACGTCATCCGTAATAACTTCGATAAGTCGCAGTAAGCGGTTTTCATTCTTCCTCTGGCATAATGCAGCGAGAGTCTCCAGCTTTGTCTGAACGTTCTGTATACGCTCTCTGTCTCTTCCAACCTGCACTCTCTTCAAAGCAACACGTTGGCCCGAGACATTCGAGGCGATGCTGACCATTCCAGATGCTCCTTTGCCAACAGTACCTGCGCCGATAGTCCATTGACCGATGGTGATGGAGCCGCTTTCAGATGGTGTTGGTGTCAGCGATAGCTCCAGTAGAGTGGTTGCAATGTTGAGGTGCTCATCCAAGTAACGCTTGACCCTGCTGGGGTAGTCGTCGGCATAAGACCCCCTAGCATACTGGATGCGGTAGCAGAGGGAGCCGAATGCTAGCTGGGCAGATGAATGGTTGAAAACTCTTTTCCCAGAGATCCTATCCCCGTTAACCATCGTGGTGGATCTGTCGGTCATAGGCTGCACATATACAAAACTTGTTTCATCTATTTGGAGAATAGCCTGATTGCGTCGGACTTTGTACATCTTGTCGTTGCCAGAACGTAAACAAAGGACGATATCGTTCATATGAGGAGCATCTCTCAAAGAACCAACTACCCATCCTCTCGACGGATTTCGAGGCGGTTGATCGAGCGATATGAAGTAGTGGCCTCTCCAGATCAGATGCCCTTCTGACTTATTTGACCGGGAAGATGGTTTTGGATCCCGTGGTGATGAAATTGGGGATGATGATGACAGGTTTTCCGATTCTGTTCTAAGTAACCGGGCGACCTCGTGATCATTTTGCTGCTTCGAGGAATACCACATACACTTTTGTGTATGTTGTCGTGCAGCTTGGAGTTGAGGGTCTTCGGACTGTCCTCGCAACCACTCAGCGACTTCACTAAACGCCAGTCGCGCCTCAGCGTTTTCTGGTGTAAGAATTATCGAGGCCCCTTCCGCTGAAGAGCCTGGTAGCGTAGGGTCCTCAACCGTCTCTTGGCTACTTGGGATATCTGATACGTCCATAATTCTGAGTTGTGCATATGAGCTTGAGTTGGAAATAAACAACGCTGGGGGGGTAACATGATGTTGAGGAGATTGGTGCAGGGTAGGTTACTGCTGGTGTCATCAGCGGGCTATTATTCTTCCGCCATGGACGCGTCAATTTGGCGTCAGACCATTTGCTTCCAACGTCAACACCATCAATTAATCAGCGCCGCAAATGTTCCCAGGACAGAGAAAACGCGGCTGGCGACAATGCCTGGCCGATAGCTATAAAAAAACCCACGGCGTAAGTCACCCAGCATGTCGAATCGTGGTCTGAACTGTACTGATCATATCACAAGCCCCTCGATGACCCTGTCCCGACCTTCGGCGCCAAACTGGTGACGTTTCCCTCGACGCCGACTCTACCCATGTGCTTCGCCACGCCTGACCCCGACTTCCTCGAGGAACTTGATCGACGTCTCTGCGCCATCGAAGCCAAGCCAGTACCCAAGTGCCTGCAGCCTCTGCGCTTTGATGAAGAACCTGTGGTCGAGTTGAGCTGCTCCGACAACGACACCGACGATGAAGGCAGCGAGAGCTTTCGTAATTCGATGCGCGAGGCCAGGATTCGTGTATATGCGAGCGCCGGAATAGATATTGTTGCTGTTGAAGCTAAGCAACGGGCGCGAAGGCTTGCGAGGGAGAAGAGACGCGAAGCCAGGGCGACCGAATTGAACAACACCGAGTCTGCGCTTCCCTCATCACGGGACCATGCTACCAAGCCCTCCAGCAATGCTACTGAAGCCGACACGGCTGGGTATCACGCCAATAACCAGAAGCGAAAGCGTCAAACAGAGGACGAGGAAGACGAGCCTCATCGCAAGATCGCCAAGCCAAGCGACACAACCAGCCCTCGACCAAAGCGACGAATTCGCCCATCATTCAAGCCGCAATCTTCATACAGTCCTCCACAAACACCATCTCCCACCGAAAGAGAACATGCACAAGGGCAAGCTGGCTCGTCGTCATCGCCCGAGTCGCTCGTTGCACAACAACCTACTCCCGAGGGTGACAGCTACTTGAAACATGGGAGGGGTCAGGAATCGCCGACTGCAGGAGCGGAATTGTCAGCAGGATGAATATTCTTGGGTGTATGAGATCTAAGTTTGATATTTGAGGATGATACCGCGACGCACGCCAACTTCTCCCCGATGGGTTCATCACTGCATCCGAAGCTATTATCGCTGTCCATCCCGACGACCAACATTAGCGGAAAAGGCGATACAGCTACATAGAAAGCTTTGACGCCGAGTGATCGCCTCGCCCCTCCCATCACAGTAGAGCCATCACGTGAAGCATCGAGTCTTTTCGTCTCGGCTACTCGACCGGCTGGCTGTCTGGAGATCACGTCCAGAATTGGCCATTAGGGGCAATTACCGCGTCCCGATAAGTACGCAGACATTTCGCGGCTGTCCTTCCAGTGTAGGCGACGCGATGCTGTCGCTGGGCAGAGACGACCTGGTGGGAAGAACGCCTGTAACGAGGCGTACCAGCACCCTTTGTTACAAGGAGGATTATGTTGTATTAGCCACAAAGGCTTTGGCGTGGCCTAGATTTAGATACAATGTAACGATATTTTCCGCTTGTAAACTGGAACGCGTTTTTCTCTGCCTGTTCTGCACTCACGTTGATGGAATAATTACGTTTGTAACGCATTTCGAGGTGCTCGACCTGGCCAGCTTTGGTACCCACTTTCAGTCCCATGAAAGGGAGCGCAGAAAGTGGAGCAACTTGGTCCTCTCTCGTTGGCTTACCAAAACTCAATCAATCTCAAGAAAAGAGACTTGATGATGAACAAGTGATTGATGGTCCTCGGGTCCAGGAAATAAATCTTCAGGACAACTTGGCTGTGCTCACCACCAAAAAAAGTCTTACATTTAATTTCCAGACCCAGAAGTTGTAAAGCTTTCAGCATCGCAAGGAAACATCAATCCAGTACACTGGAAAAATCCCAATTATCTGGAACGTCTGGTATAAATAACAACAGTATCATTGCGTAAAAGCACCCCAAATAAAATACTGCATGCTTTAAGAGTAGAGAAATGGACGTCAGGTATCAGCTTATCAGCTTATCAGCGCATTTCTATTCGCCAAACTTCTTATCTTTGGCTTATCATTTCCATTTCAGTAGCTCTCCTCGCCTATAACCCACTGTAGCTTTAGCGCCCAGAGACCCAGATATTGGCATTTCACCTAACCTTGCGCTGGCAAAATGTCCCCCTTCACTCTGTGATGGATTTTCACGTTGGACAATTCGCTATGGACTGCGATGAAAGGCAGATATTCTGGAGAAACATGGTGTTAATAGTCACTGCTAGTTCTTACGTTGTTTGCTACCTCGTCATCCTCATTGCGATCTGTACGACGCCCTACGAGACCTAGTGAACCCACCACCACCTCCAATTATCACAACAGACACGCAAAAATATCACAATAGACTCTAGCATCATAAATTCCTTTCATTTACTTATTCATTCTCAGTCTCCAGATCTAGATCCTGTGTACTAACGAGTGTCCACGACTTATTCCCTGTCCCCATCCATATCATAGCTCAAATGACTGTCCCATTTCCATCAGTCTGAAACAATTTCATAACCTCGGCTGTGTTTACGTCTGACAATGTCTTGCGCTCCGCGCAGATCTCAGAAACACATTTGTATTCAAGAGGACACCGTGCTCCAATGCACGTTTTTCTGACCAGCTATACAATGGTATTCTTGGCACGTCGTACAAAACTCACATTAGTCTCTCATTATCGTGTCTTCGCCATCTAAATCGTGAGATGATTGATGTTCTTGGACGGTAGTTATAACACTGGAGGTAGTCAACTCCCGTGAACCAAGATAGACTCGGGTAATATGATAAATAGTAATAGTTTCTCTATTGATCACTTCGGATGTTGGGTCTTCCTGACCATGCGGGATTGATTCCTCGCTGCGAGACATAGCAGCGCTACTATTGTACAAATTGCTCTGATCCACAGAGAATGTTTGGGGCCTACCACGGCCAAATTGCTGGGTGCCATCCTCAGAGCTAACGACATTCCTGTCCTCAGGAGCGTCTGGCATGTAGATATCCTCGCTCTGATCAGGAGCATCTAGCATTACGATATCTACGCTTTGCACAGGTTGCTCTGTCTCAAGATTGGATGATGAGGCTGCCATCGCCGTTTCTAACTTACACAGAGAATAGAACGAAAAGAAGCGATAATTGCTACGCGTAGCCTTGTAATAAATGAACAAATCTACCTAAAAATATAATCATTAACCCCTAAAGATCTGCATCGTGGCCGCTTTGCCATTTTACCTTTCTTACGCTGTATGTATAACGAATTACGTGTACCTAAAGAGAGTAAAGAGTAAATAATAGTAGATTATAGTAAAGAGAAAAATATTAATAGTTGCGTAAAAGAGGTCTCGGACGCGCTCCTTTAATGTGTTTCTCGTAACTCAGCTCTTCTCAGAAAAGCCTCTCAGATCCTGATGAGAGAGGAAGAAGGAAAAGAATCAAATCTGCTTGGGAAGGTGGGAGATCCTGATATACCCCATAACCTGTCCTGGGGCCCACACCACCACTTTACGGTCGTGGCACTTTGTCCAGCTGCTTCAACTCAGCTTCATTCGTTCTTGGCTATCATCACATGGGCTACTCTCCACTTCTGTCTGGCCATGCATGGCCAGGCAATGCTAAAATGGGATGACTGCATATCGAGCCAGCAATCGACCCTATCAGAGCAAGTTAAGCTTGCTATCTGCTGCTCGCAGTCCATGCCTCTTGTAGAATTCATTTGCTTTATCAGCATGGACTGGGGTGTTGGGAGGCCTCATTCCAAAGACACAGATAATCGCACCCCACAGACATTAAAAAGCGAAGATGAGGTAAGGCGCGCGGTGCAAGCATCAGTTGCCCAATCGACTCAAGATGACACAACTGAACAGCCATTCGGGGAAATAGGAAGTACGATACTCAGCTAGTCGCGCTGAAGTAAGCGCAAGAGTAAATTTCGAACGAACATCAAATTGGTATTGGGCAAAGCGTGGATTAGCCACCACAAGAACTCTACCATTGATTGAAGGCGCCTCAAATTGAAGTTGGTGGTCAACTTTACCCAGCCAATTACTCATGGGGTCTGATCTGACCAACCAGAGACGATTCTGTCTCTTAAGATGACTCAAGGACGAGGTTAAGACGACAAGATCGCGCTAAGATAAGGATCGAGACGCGATAAGATATAGATAGAGCTATCTTAAGATATCAGATCAGGAGGCAACTGGGCTTATGGCCCTTGCTTAAATCAGAAATCATCGCCAAGTTACAATTGTCGCATGGTTGAAGCGGTTAATAGAGATAGCCAAAAAAATAGAGACTCTAAACATATTCAGAATATAGAGTAATTGAGCTTCTATGTTTTTGCTGATTCATCAGAAACCTTATATCCCTAAGGAATTTCTGGAACCACTTTCGACATGAAGAAACCTCTGACAGATATCGCGATGCCCGCTCCGATGCGTAGTGCTCAAGTGTTCAATTACATCCAGGTTACAAAATCCGAGAGTTTCTTCATCACCGCTCCATACAGGAGGATGACTAGATACACAGTGGACCAATGAAAAACTGACAGGTGTTTAAACATAAGTGAGGGGAACTCAGACCGAGTGAGTGACTATAAGCGAACAAGATTCCCGATTCTTCTTTAAAGAGAATAAATTCAGTCTGTAAATTGCGCCCTTTTGAAGTATCCTTCCCTGACTCAATTATTATCCCAAGAATGGAGCGCGTATTAAAAAAGGCATAACTATACCTACCTACAAACGCTAGAATAACTAATATAATGCTGACCACTATCGCTAGCGTTATAACGTTAAAACTATTCAACTTTCTAATCGGCCCTCTCTAAATAGAATACACAATTTACTCAGCTCTTGTCGTGTACTACTTACTAGCTCTCGCTGCTATGGTAAATGGAAAATTCCGAGAGTTATAAGAAGGTTCTGTTAAATGGGATAATATAGATGAGATAGTCTTTAATAGCTTCTGGCAGTTTATCTATACAGGAGACTACGACACTCCAGAACCACTTCCTACTACTTAGCAAGATTCCGGCCTAGGCGACCAAAAATCGAATACTGCCGATAAACCTATAGAAAAGGAACCTACACCAGAACCAGAACCAGAACCAGAACCAGAGCTATGGACAGCAGACGCAGGAAGAGACCAGAAGAAGAGGGGAAGCGATCAGATGTCGATTCTATGGTTTGAATTTCTCTGTTTTTGGAAACCCCCTTGTAAGGCCGTTGATATTGACATCTCACTCAAAGACCAGGCAAACCACTTAGTGCACTATACTAAAGTCTTCACGCTGGCTAACTGCTACGGAGTTAAACGACTTACAGAAATCTCTTGCGGAAAACTCTTTTATAGGTTAATAGATTTATATAAAAAGGGCAGGGATTATACTAATATAGAAAAGCTAGTGTAATATACTTCTAAAGAACAAGTGCCAGATAAACTGAAAAATATAGTTATAGACTTCAGTGCTTGCGTGGTTGAGAACTTATAGGAGATTAAAAGGTTTCATAAGCTTCTGGAAAAGGATAGCATCTTGTCGAAAGCGCTTATTAGGGGGTTATTACGTAGACTGGCTGAGCGTCCTTCACGGCTCTGCTATAATCCTAGAAAAATATGTAGATAGACTTGCGATACTTAAGTATTTATATAAGAAGAGATAAAGAGGGATTAACGCATAACGCATTAGCTGAGATATAAGCCTATGACATTTCCTTATATCACTTGGAAAGATCTAATAGAGAAGGCGGCTAACTTGCCTATTCCATAGCAGCTTGATGGCCTAACAGCAAACCGATGATTGATCGCTGATCGCTAGTCTCTATGGCTTACGGTATGACCCTCGCTGGCACCGTTCTGGAGGTATAGCCACTAAGGTTCGGTTCGTTGGAAACAGGGGAGTCTATACAGTCCGCTATCAACAAACTCAAGCTGGAGGTGGCCTGTCGGCTTCTGGGCAGTGACATCGCGAAACACCCTGCACTTGTTGAGATATATCCGAACACTGGGATATCTAATTATATGTCGAGAGAGATGCAAGCAACCAGGAGGGATAGACGTCTCGTGAGCAGCGACTTGGACTAGTGCCGAAACTTAAATGGCTATCCTCTGCACTATCTCCAAACACAAGTCTAGTATAGTGCGTTTAAACGAGAATAGCTTCGTGCACGGTCCTGGGTCGTGAACTAATGCTTCTCCACCTTATATCGTTCAAGCTGTGAGGGACTCATTTATCTATCTTCCCTGCGGGTTACTGTTCCAGCTCATTGGAGTAGTGAGAAGTCTGGCGTGAATGAAGCCATGCTCTATCAATACATTAGACTGAGGCGTCCTGAGGAGCAGGACTGATTTCTGGGAAGGCGGGGATTCAGATGTAAACTGCGACCGCATGGGACATCCATGCTTCTTGATGTCTGCGGTCGCCAACCTTGCTGATCAGCAGCACGGCATGGAAAGTTGATGACGGACCAACGGCCTATTCTGAAATTAGAATCAAAGCCTGGATGCTAAAAATGCACCAAGTTTGTCTTATCATGCTAGCACGGAATTCCCTTAAAGTGAGTAGAGGGCCCTGTTACCTAAGGTACTTGGTGTGCGTTTACTGGATATCAATACACTATAGGGCAGTGTAAACACCCAACACGTACGAGATCACCCCCTCCCTCATCATTTTAGGGTTACAAATTAGGTAAAGGTGGATGACATCAGCCGATATTTAGTTGCTTGAGCTGCCACGTTGCACGTATAAAATCTGACCTTTTTATGTAATTCTGCCTTACCCCGCTCGCGTCGATAGGCTGACTTCTCAGTAATTAGGATTGTACATAACCGGGAAAATTTCCACTCAAGGCTTTTCTGCAGCGTTCTATCGTTAAAGAGCCCCAAATGAAACAGAAAGCAAAAGCCCTGCGGCCTACACTTAATTCCTCTAGTCTAAAATCAGGTTATAGACCTAAGACCAGTCGTAACAATTCTATTACAGTAAGTCACGGAGGCTATCTTTAACGTGCAACTTCAGAGCACGGCTAAATATTCCTAGACACCCTTATCCAATATGGAACAAGATCTATCAAGCTTTCAGTCTAACGTTATTGCCCTTCAGCCACACTCTTGTATTTATTGCCAGAAGCTGCTCATCCATAATGTGTCAACCTATGGTAGTATCACAGGCAAGTTTTCCTATACCGAAGTAGCAGAGATGGCCGCCTCGGGTTGCCTGCTCTTCCAGACTTTACAAACAAAGTTCGACCGTATCTCGTATCCAGCTTGCCGAACACGTCATGACTTGACTTTAAAGCCACGAACTTGGAGTGATGGTACATTGTGGGGCCTAACCTTCACGTGGGAAATGAAGCCAGAAGATCGTCAAATCAGGGGTTGCGAGGACGATGAAGAAGAGAATATGTTTTTCGCTTTTGCCCCAGAAGGTGACGAAGAATCCTAACCAACATGGAACAAGATAACGACCGTTCATGCTTACTAAATCAATAGATAATCCTGCTCAGGAATTCGTTGAGGCTTCGCCTTTCAATCTGCATCCTGGCTCGGCTGAAAGCCTCGCATGGATAAAAAAGCGATTTCAGAGATGCCAACGCGGTCATGCCAAATGCGAAAAACAAGCCAGAGAGAATCGACAAAACTTAGCTATGCCGAAGAGACTACTGGATGTAGGTCAACTCAGTGACCCCTTCATCAGGTTGCGATGCCAGAGTATCCTTTGCTATTGCCAGTTATGTATGGGGCAGCGGCTTGAAAGAGGAAGCTATACAGCGAGCTAAAACGACCGAGGAAAACATAGGCTACAGAATGGCTTCTGGAATCGAAGTCACAGGCCTACCTAAGAGCATTCAGGACCTCATCGAAGTCACGCGACAGATCGATTTTCGATACCTTTGGCTGGATGCTTTCTGCATCGTCCAAGATGACGAGGACGATAAAAACAATCAATTTGACTCAATTGTAGACTTTTACAAGCAAGCAGACGTTCTAATTTCAGCCGCAGGTGCTTCGGACTGTGACGAGGGATTTCTACAATCCAGAACAGTTGATCGGTGTTACGGCTCGATCTTTGAGTTACCTTACGAATGGAAAATTGATGACCGCGAGACTCAAGGATTCTTGCTCTTATCGGAAATGGACTTGAACGGTTCGACTGACAATGATCCTGTGCATAACAGAATTTGGACATTTCAGGAACATCTCGTGTCATCGCGGATCATCAGCTTTGGCTCTCGACAGATCAAGTGGTCATGTCAGCAAGAAAAGAGTTTTGTCGATGGTGGCAATTATTACGGAATGCAAGATGATCTTGAGGATAACCTCAACAAAGCATTTTCCCCATCTCGATATTCCTCCAAGACTTTTATGGAAAAAGACTTCAGGGTTTGGAGTTGGATGGTGATCGTTGAGGAATATTCAAAGCGTGACTACTCCCGTCTGGAAGACAGGATCCCGGCGTTCTATGAAGCCATGTCACTTTTAGCACCCCGCATGGGCTGGACAAGAGATCAGTGTGTTTATGGGATATGGAAAACTGACGCCAGCCGTCAACTTCTGTGGAAGAAAGACGAGACTCTGAGTACTCAAGAGTTTGAGGAACTCCAAGCTTCTGCAAAGGATGGACAACTTGGACCATCGTGGTCTTGGGCGACATTACCTGGCGGAGTTATCTATGATATCCGCTCACAGCTTCGCAAACTGGGCGATACTAATCCGACAATCGAATTCCAGGAGATTGATGGTCAACCACCATGGCTCACGATAGAGGCTTTTGTTCGGGAAGCTGACTGGATTGAGAATTATGCAGTCGAAGGACCAGCCGAGGATGTACTGCTCTTTAACGTTGATCTGGATGTTGAAACGCCACCACAGCCAGTACTTTTGCTTGATTTGTCCAGATCCCGTGCATCACCATTCAGTATGGGGTTGGTTCTAGTAAAGGTTGCAGGATATCTGATGCGTTTTCAAAGGTGTGGCCGCTTTGAGGCTATTGAAGATAACCCAAATGGATCGCCTGTTCTCTTCTCAAATAAAGCTAGATCATTCAAGACAATTACAATAATCTAGTTTATAATCTAAATATTCTATTATAGGAATTTTATTTTACACTTTACAACTTGTCTATATAATATATCTGTCTTAATATTTAAAGATTATATTGCTGCCTAGTAGTCTTATTTACATTTAATAGATTATACCTTACATTATAGGTTAACTTACTATCTTTATAGAGCACTCTTAATACCAATAGTATGCTCTAGGTCTAAGTTAGTTACTGTAATTCTAGCTAAAAATACCTACTTAGGGCAAAGGAACCTAGTTTAATATTAATATAAGTTACACTCTCTTAAGCATTATAATCCTCTTATATACAGTATTACAGGGTAGTAACCCTAGATTAGGCTCTGGTAGCTAGATAAGACTCTATTTACATATACAGCATTATAACATTTTTATAATACTAAGCGTAAACTGAAATTTAGACATATAGTGACACGATCAGGCAATAAACGTAAATATCTACACAGGGCTCGCTAACTGTTTATACTTCTTAAAAATTACCAAGCTATTTCCAAAGCCTCTGAAAAAATGAACCTAGGGACAACATCCATGACCTCGGCGTCTTGGCTTTAGGTTTACTTCTTAAATATAAAGATCTCAACATTATATTCGTCGATGCTAACAAGCTCGCAACTAAGGCTTAAAATAGCAGGCTATAGAAAGTCGTTAGATATGAGTAATAGTATTTTAAGCTAAATTTTCTATTCTTTTAATAAAAGTAGTAGTTTTAACCCCCATAACAGTAGCAAAGTTATATTAGTTTATAAGGTCCTTCTTTTCTACAATCTTATCGTAAAGACCTAACATGCTTGCACATTCGATTCATTCTCTTGATAAGTAGTTATCATAGGACTACACTCAGCTGTATATTGACCATGGTTGGGGAAAGTCATCCAATTTTAACTCTTGGATCTTACTCTCTGCTATAACCAACAAAGGATCGATGAAACTCTTTAAAGAACAGCTGTGTTGAACAAGCTTCTTGGGCACCTCTTCGTTCTTATCATGAGCTGAACTACACGGATCGCTTGTTTGAGGCACGGCCCTTCCCCCAAAAATTTCCCCAGAAGGAGCTGCGGGGGTAGACGTAGGCTGCGGTGCTCTCATTCTACTAAAAGGTCCACCGGTTGTTGGGGGCGTAGTTGATGAAGTGCCGAAAGGCCTAGAGTCAGCTATAGGAGCACCAAATGGACGTGGGTCAGAGGTGTTTCGAGCGGTAGCGGCGGCACCGAAACCAGAGAGACCAGACCCAAAAGGGCTTGAAATTGGTTGAGTAGTAGCAGTATTCGACTGGGAAGCAGGTAACGATGTAGGCTGCTCATGTAGTAGCCATTCATGTGAATGTTTTCCTGCGAGGCTCCCTGTTACCGAACTGTAATAGATCAATGGCTGCATGTCGCGCAGAGAACTGATAATAGAGTCGAGTCTCAGGGAGTAAAAGGGAGATTCGGGTCGTGGGTATAGGCAGTTTGCTATCATGACTTGTAGCAAAGATCCTAGGAGCAAAGCTCTACAACCTTCACTACATCCCACCTTCCGCTGAAGAAGGTCATCGTGAATCTCATATAATCCATCAATTAGGTACTGCAGGACCTCTGTTCTGCTTTTTTCAATGCACCCTATATTTGTAAGCATCTTTGTAAGTATAAGCTATCACGCACAACGGCCACATACTTGGAATATCTGCGCGGATTGGTAGATCAAATGTAGGCATGCCCTGGCAGGTATACCGAGCAGCTCGTTGTATACACCTTTGAAAGAGGTCTTTATCCGCGAACACAAAAGAAACGAGAATAAGCTGTGCCAGTGACTTATCCATTCTTTCGGGTAGTGTAGCAAAGCGCACACGGTATGTCAAAAGCCACATCTCAGTGCAGAACGAAAGTGCATCATAGCACTCTAGATCATCAACAATAGAGGCGATTTTTGATAGAAGATCTAATTCGACACTTAGAGGAACTCCGCGGGCTTTTCCGTGTATAATTCTTAAGACCAATTCAAAGGCTTGCATATCAAAAACATCCCCAAAGTTCCAATGATAAAGACCATCGTCTTGTTTTGAAGCTTCTTTGAAGGTGCTTGAGAAAAGCTTGGAAGCACGACGCGATGCAAGTGTCAGGTGCTTCTGTGAGCAGAGAAATTGTTTCTCGATGAATGTTGGTGACTCGGTAGTGCCAGCAGGTTCGGTGGGTTCTTTGGAGGGAGGAGGGTCCTGCTTGGTTGCAAGGATGACTAGAGTGTCGCCATTGGGGTCGATTGCAACGCGAGTATTTGACATGTTCGCTTGGTTGAAATAGTGGTGGGTAAAAGTGGTAGTATTGGCATGAAACAAAGAATAAAGCTGAGCTTCGTCCTGGGAAAAGTCCTCCCCCTTTTGAAGTGCAGCTCATCTGTTAGAGATCAGGTTCTATATTTATCCGCCAATCATGCGGTGCATTGAAATGGTGATGGCGCGTCTTGAGCCAATAGAAAACTGAAATCACAGTTGACACAGCGGCTACAGAGCACCAAACAACTATGAACCGAACAGCCATTCTTGGAAGATTGGGGGGTCTGATCAGCAGATGACTTTACTGCAGTGAGAGGGAGAGCGATTTCTCAGAGGCTCTTGAGTAAGTATTGTATAAAGCACCATGAGAATTCTAGCTCTGATGAGAAGGACTTGAATGAAGTTGGCGGTTCAATGGACCTAGCCAATCACGCAGTAGATTTAACCAGACCAATTAGAGAGGATTGTGACTCTTAAGATGGCAGCCAAGCGCGATAAGATAAAGGTATCGCGCTAAGATAAGCGTTATCTGGATGATGCACGTGCGATAAGATATGGATCATCTTAAGATGTCGGCGTACGGGCCACAACAAGAGTCAACTGGGCTTGTGGCCTGTGCATAATCAGAGTCAGCCATGTTTTTTTAGTAGCTTCGCCAACAGGATAGCCATGCAATTGTGAATTTATACATGGTCAAGAGAAAGTGGAGGAGGTTATGCTCGCACTCAATTGCATATTCTTGCTGCTTTATCAGGTGACCCAATTCAAAAGACCTTATCACAAGCTATCAAAATTCCAAGAAAGTTGCCACGGATCTTACGAGGCCTTCACTAATGTTTAGGGTGCAACATGGCATTGACGTGTAAGCAGTAGTTGCAAGATCGTGCCCAAAGCGTTTCGTCTATCCTGTGGGAGATTACACGTGGCCTTATTCTCTAAATAAAAGCACTCACCCGAGTCACGTCTGGCCAGGCGACCCTTATCCTCAGATTGACCTTAACGCCTATATATATATATCTGCTTCGATCCGGGCTCATCGCATATGCTTTTTCCACCTCTAAATAGGCTGCCAGACCATTGAACCAGTTCACCAGATAGCCCTTCGTACATATCCTTTGCAACTTCACAGCAATAGTCCCTGCTTCAATATACAGGATATAAACCCAACCCTCGGCCTATGAATCAGCTTGAAAACTACCTACCAGGTCGAATGCCAATAACAAACTTCAAAAAACTGAACGAGAAATAGAGTCGGGTTCTTCAGACAAGATCGAAGCTACGATATCGGACTTCAAACACATGAACTCCGGGGCCCGGATTTGAGTGATGGGGACTTGGCAGACCTGGACTTCACGGACATGGACCTTAGAGACTAAAAACGGTTCTCAGGCACATCGCTTATGCCTGGGAGGAAGCAATGACACACGTCGGGCCATTGGCGGACTGTGAATGCCAGGTGTGGTCTACTGCGCTATCTTAAAACACACTTCTGGGGCTCGTCAGGAGACTTATGTGATGATAGCCGATAGTATTGCCAGATTTCGTGCGCGGCGCTAACCAGAATCTGAGCTCAGAGGATCGGGGTTCCATCTCCTCAACTTGGGGTGAACATTGAAGCTTTAGATAGCAGTCTAAAGGAGTTCAGGATCGCTACCCCAGAGGCGAAAAGGTAAAACAATACATACATTCAACTAGCCTGTTACTGGTGCCCAAAGCAATTGACTTGCGAGCTCGACTTTGGCAAGCGTTCTCAACCTTGAGAAGGTGATCCTTGGGGATAGTTCAACGCAGTTCATATGCTCGGAGTTCAAGGCTTCACAATTCAGTTCAGGCAGCAGATAAATAACAGGGGGGATAAAGAGTGAGGGTCGCTTGGGCGTGTCACAATTGAAAGGACAAGCGAACCGCAGAATTACTCTCGAGGATACCGTCTGGTGATAACAACTTCGTGAGCCCAGCTGGTAACAGTACGTACCAGAAGTGAATTCGCTCATTTCCACAACGACTTCCAGTCTGTTTGTCTGCTCGATTCCGGTGACTTTAAGATCAGTGATAATTCATTCAAGTCGTCGCTGTTCCGCTTCAAGCATGTCCATTGCATTCTGAGGTGCTGAATTCACTCCCAGTGGCTTACGGCCCAGCTCTCCTATGGTTCTTCGCGTCGCCTCAATACGCCAGCAACTACATCACGCATATCTACTCAGCCTGGTACCCGCTATCAGATATATACAGAAGAATCTCAGAGCCGTCCAAAAGCATCGCCTTAGGAAACCAGTGACGATCACAGATTCCTAGACATCGAGTGGGGCACACAATTACTTTTATTGACGGTTAGATAGATAACATAGCTGCCTTAGACAAACGACGATACCATTGCATCTCGCTGTTTTGAGACAGACCACGTACTGTGCGGCGGGTGCAAGGCGATCCTGAGGGCCTATATTGTACTCAAGGATCCCTTCACACGCTTGCACGAGAACATATAGTGTCGAAAGTGCCTCTAAGTGAGTGTATCTCTGCTTAAATCAGTCAAAATCCCGGTGCATAGTAGCATAAACCCATCTGATTCCATTACACTGGATGTTCGGGAATGGTGATGCTCATACTAGGTTTCCGGTAAATGGGTTCCGACCTTCGGAGTTTTGGATATTGGTACGGATGGTGGGATAGTATGGGATGCAGATCTGCCTGTCATACCTTGTTCAGAGACTGGCCAGCCTGGTATGCTTATTCAGTTCAAATACGGTCTTGTAGAGTAACTCATCAAGCCCGCTCGACTACACAAGGATAGTCAAGGTAACTACCCAAGACCTTGAGCACCATCTCGAGAGACTACCTCAAAGCCACAAACGATTCCCTCGTCAAGCAGCAGGCCCGTATTGGCAATCAAGAACTGCGATTGTAGGTTCTTGAGAGTAGCGGGGCACAGATTTCGTCTATACCGGATGGCTGATTTGCAGGCTTGAACTACCCGGAATGGAGAAATACAGGATGGAATCCCGAACGCTTTCACTCCGTAGATGGAACGGATGCTGCTAGAGGTAATTGATACCTTGGTATTGAAGCAGTATCGCGATGAATTGATGCGTTGATTTTGTACCTTGAACCTACGGTTCCAGTAACGGCTCTCCAGTGCAACCTCCTTTCCGGTGGAAGTGGGCATGACCAAATGAATCTAAGAATATCAAAGAAGAGAAGCAATCTCGTAGAGAAAAGAACAGCTCGCGATTCTAAAGCACCACTGAGCATACATCATCAGATGCCGTTCTTGTTGTCGAGTATCTTACGATCGGCATGGACAGTAACCAAAGGTTGTTGATGTCGCATGAACCGTCTGTAATGCAGCAGTTGCACTCTACATATAGCACTTTAAGATAGCAGTCGAAACTTGAACATCCATTGCTACATTCCATACGTCGTGCCACCCTAACTGGTTGAGCCGCGTGATGGAGAACCGAAAAGCGTAACCCCCTATACTGAATTTCTCAGCAAGATTCCTCGGGTGCAGCGTTGTATTGACTGAATATTTGCTTCCTTCTGATAGGCTTAAATTCCAACAGGCGCCTGCTGGCTGGGGGTAATTGTGCAATGTGGTCTCTACGAAAAGGACTAGGCCCACGCGTGACTTTACCTAGTGATCTAGATACTTTCATCAGATTTATGTAGAGTGTACATTGCTATGGCAGACTCTGGATCCCTTCATGCTTGAGGCAGAATTACACAAAGGGAGCCTTTAGTAATTATCTGCTGTTGCAATCTCACCCTCCGTTCGAGCCTTCAACCTTAGGTCCTTGAGATTCTCCATCGCAAGACTTCTACAGAGATAATCCGGCTGTAAAGTCACGGGCAGAAGGGCTTGGGGTTTAATACCGCTATATCAGGTAAACAGGCCGAGACTGATCGTAGATGTCACCCTTCTGGCAATGAAGGATGCCCTTGAGGCTTGATCTTCTGGCCCGCGTGCAGCTTATGCCATATGATTTGGCATAATAAAGAAATACCCGGCTGCGCTTTACTATTCGCTACCTTGGCCAGATGCTTCCGTGCCCTACCATCACTCCCTTGCTTAGGACATCTACATTGCGAGCACGATATGTCCTTTTCAGTTGGGTGTTGTAGGTAAGAATCAGGATAAACCCAGATGACCTCGCATCGGAAGTCTAGGACTAGGAAACATCCATGTAACCATATCCAACCTGGCGGTCCGGCTCTCTCCTCTGTTGCGACATAGCCTCCTACCGAAGCATATATACTGAGTTAGTGGAACTAGGGCCAGAAGCTATATATCCTGGCTAAACGCTGAAATGAGCCGGGGCTTCGGTGCTGAAGAAGTGTGAGCGCTGCTTTGCAGGCAACACAGATCCAGTAGTGTATTAAAAAAGAATCAGGGGAAAGATCGCCGTCAAAGAAGTAATGCGAGAGTTCAGTGCAGAGTTCATGTTCGATTAGACAGAGAAGCGGGTCGTGTTTAACAAAGTTGAGCGAGATGGCTGTTGCAGCAAATCAATCTCAAGCGCTCAATATTGTCGACTCCCTTGTGTCGAAGCTTTTGAACGAAGGATCAGGAACCTGCCACCACGACTCCGGCCATTAGCTGGGCCAAAAGATGTTCCAATGGATGAGATCTATAGACCCATTTAGCTCTAGATGTCTGCGTATGTACCGTCCCCGTAATCTCGGCTCAGTTTCTTGCTCCGGGACTTGGCGTTCAGGCGCCAATATGTACATGGGCTATGAATTAGAGAATATAGGAGACGTACGGCATCTTCTTACAGCCGCCGTGCTTTGATTGATGCGCTAATTTCGGAGTGGTCGACCAGTCGGTTTATGTAGTTTCTCTGCTAATTCAGATCAACCAGTCAAAGGCTGGGATACCAGGGCGTAGGCACATGTTAAAGCTGTTGTCAGATTGTTCGTATACGCGGCAACAATCTCGGGTGCCAGCGGTAGGTCGGGGTGCAGTGGCAGTGATAGAAACCAAGGAACCTGTTCAGCGGGCTACGGTATCGTACTCGTGTTAGGCGAATGGAGCGAGCACCAGGTATTTCTTAACACGCGCATGATCGATGTTCTGCTGGCAACTTATTATGCCCATAGGCCAGTCAGCCCAGTACTCCGTCGTGCAGTGAGACGAGCACCATCAGAGATCAGCGGTGCGTTGTGTGTACTGTCTGATACCAGCTAGAACTTGAGTAAAGTGCCCGAGATCAAGACCCTAAGGCTTATATTATATCGGTTCATGGCTATGCCTAATTCGACTCGTCGTATTTAAGAGATTTATCTGTAGTATTGAAAGCGTATGTAGTGTATCAATGCTGCTTTGCTGATTTATGTCGTGACCTCTGCTTGGAGTGAGACGTGCGAACCATGTAAGGAATGGTAGGTCGGTTCGCATTGCTGTGATATTGTCGGTCGCGCCATGTACTTTGCTGTACCAGGAGTTAACATGGAGAATCCGAGCTTCGCATAATTTCGGGGGTTATCGCAAATAGAACTTTCAAGGTCATGAGTATCGAGCGGCGGGTAATCGCTATGCTTAAGGTTGAGGTCCGAGATGCGCTCCCTGCTTCAATTGGCGGAGATGAAATGGCTGCGGTGCTGACTGCCGGGGTAGCGCTGTAAACATAAACAACTCGTGCGATCATTTACTTTCTCCAGAAATAAAATACAGCGCCTTCACTAGGTGGAGCCCTGTAACCAGTCTGCTCCCACGAACAATTCCTTGCTCCCGCGGTAGAGCTCTCACTGCTTCACCCACTCATCTGATCCCGCGACTAAGCATGTCCCCTGTAACCGCGCCCGTCTCAGGTCGCTGAGACGAATAATCCAAGTTCAGATTGCAGGCTATTGGCAAAGTCATAGCCTTTTTGGGCTCGCACTGCCAACAGCTGTTCAACTCCCACGTCATCAATCACGGCTCCACCTGCTTATGTCATCCACCAAACCTTTTGATCGCGACCTCAACAAAGAACGAAGCCAAGTTTGACACGATTTTTACATTACCTTGACTTTTTGTCGCAAGAGGCAATACTCAAATAAATTCTCTTCTCAGTGTCGCAGCAATGCCGTCTCGACAAGTCAAGTTCCCCACCTTGGAGGAGTAGCGATCCGCCCAGGATGAGGCCCCAATATCCCGACTCGCAGCGCGCAACATCCTCGTCAATCTCAGCAGCGATCAAATCCGCCAACTCCGGCTGTACAGTCTCCTAGAAATCGAGGAAGCGTCGCAAGACATCAAAACCGCCGACGCCACTCTGCAAACTCTCCAGCACCAACAGGCTGCTGTTCCCCAGAACGAACCTCGACCTTCAGCTATGAAAACCATAGTCAACGCCCTCGTCGCGATCCTCGCCCTCTTCCTCGCTCTTTTCGGCTTTTGCATTAGCGATGCTCCGACCGATGAGGATACGAAATCAGCTGAGGCTGTGAAGAAGGTTTCGCTTGAGCGCAAGAAGGCTGAGAAGAGGATCAAGCGTGCGGGGGCGCATATGCGTGCTCTTGATCGACTGGTTGAGGCGCAGGAACTTGATATCGGTGATAACGGGACGGGAAGCTGGGAGATGGTTCAGAGGTGGAATGATGCGCGGAGTGATTAGTGCTGGTTGGCTGTTTGATTGAGGTCTCTTGATTGATCGCATCTGAATGAAGGAACGAAGAAATGAATAATGTCACGCCTGTTAAAATACATACAGCTGAATGGAAAAACACCTTGCATTGCCTTGACCACTGTGGTGGCTTCCGTGATGCCAGATGAAATTGTGATAAAATGAGGAGACTGGCCATTGAAAAACGTTGATTATAATTTTTTCTAATCTGTATTCCAGCGTCGCATTCTCACCTGTTTGCTGCAAGTGGTGTACTTCTCACGTGGTGACCTCTGTGTCACCTCTGACCGCCAGCGCGTTGCATCGCGTCATTGGAGCTGAGTTCGAAAGATCCAGCCACATCTCGCAACATTGATCTGCATTAGTTTGCACACAAAATGCCTAACAAGACTCTAGGGTATCTTGAGACAAGAGAGTCTGGCTCGTGCCTCTCTTCTTCGGGGTGCTTCTACAGACTACATTAGCATACAGAACTACAGACTCAGAGCTCTTGCAGCGCCTATTATCCGATCGATCATACGAAGCCGACTGCGCGATTCGCATAATATTTGAGCATTACTCAATTGAGGAAAACAAGGCTGTCTTTATTAAAGCTGGATCCTTTAGTGTGTTGAACCTGCGTTCTGCAGAGCATCATGTAATATGAGCTCGCATGTCGGGGCCTTGACTTTAGACGAAAAGGTGTCATGTCGGTTGGCACAATAAGTCTTTAGAAGAAAAAGAGCACAGATTACAATCTGATGCTTTCACATGTTGCGCAATACATAGGGCAGGTTTTTGACGTCCCTCATCCTGTGTTAACTCACGAAGTCAAGTCGCGCCTAGAAGTGATTTTGGCATTTTCTAAATACTTAGCAATCAGGGCAAGATGAAAATCAACTGTGCAATCAGTCAAATGCATAGTGATTTGGACTTCAGTCACGGCCCTGACGACTACAGCCATGACATTATTCATAGCATCGCAGGTTGACCACGTACCAAAGCTGTCTAGCTCTATTCAGCCTTTAATATGCGGGGCAGGTCGGGGAGATCGAAGCCAGAGCCGAGAGACAATCCATCCCTGTCCCGCCATGTCATGTTGTGGGGGTAGCGTCCTCAAGCAGACACTGACAGATACAGATGCCAGGCACGGTTTTTTGGTAGGTCGCTGAAATTTCCATCTGGATTAACCCGAAGATGCGTCATGTAGCTGCCTCAGCGTGGTCTGGATCAATATATAAAAATGGGAGGCTTACCGCCTTTTTGTTCCTTCAATCAGCGCCAGTAATAAGCTTACTCTTACTCTCGCCGACGCATCTCTTCCAGCAATTCCCGCTCTTTTCTACGCCCGCTATCGATCACATTAGCAGCCATGATGCCGCGTGCCAGCGCCCCAGAACTTCGCCCACGCGCTCCATGCCCTCTTCATCCCCAACCCGAACGCCAGGGTGATCAAATCTCCAACAGCCCGCCGGGATTCAATGGTCTCGATGGTTAGGCACCCTCAGGACCAGAAGTCCCGGCATGTGTAGGCCAACAATTTATTGTACATCTACAGCTATCTGTTCAAGTTCAAGCGCAGCTGTGTAACTTGAAACTCGCCTACAACCTCTTGAGTCTTCCGCAAAAGCCGGTTGCAGTGATCAAGATGATGCTTCAGAGCAGTGAGCACGATGAGAACGTCGCTCCCGTGTTTGCCTTCCAGCCAGAACCCCAAGTATTGCATGCTGGATATGACGTCCACCGCAAGTCCACCTCATCTCACCCTCAAATCAAGATTGCTACTTGATCAGCAGAGACATACACCCCCCATAACTGCCTCATAGCACGCTGCGACCACATGTTCGCCGTCATAATCTGTGAACCTAAGATTCCAAGAATGTAACATCAATTTGACTACATCGTTTTTTACCCGCCAGGAAATCTCTGTATCACATTCATAGCCCTCTTGAGGGCATCGTATGCTTGCAACTTAAGATGTACCTCTGGATAAACTTCTTACTCACGGCCTGAAACGGCTTATAGATTCGCACCAAGGAGTTCCGGCTCGACCTTTTTGATCAACTGCATCTCAGGCTTCTCCTTACCATCATCAGTGCTTCAGCACCATGTATTTCCAGTCTCGGTATACCGGCCTGCGGGATCTCGCTTTCGCACAGTCAGGCGTTTTAGTTACATATCTTGAGCATGTTCTTATGAGGCTGCCATTCTTCCAACAAAGATGTAGTCCTTCCCTGTAGTCTACGGCTGAAATAAGCACCTAAGATACAGGAACGATGGATGGCATGACTCTGTTCTCAGGCAGTAAGACATGATCAATAGGAAACGAGGTATAAACGTGGGATGACTGATATTTTAATAATGTAGCAAGCACTTTTGTTAGCTAATAGAGTACTCTACTGAGATCTATATACTTCTTCTGATCGAACATTCAGTCTTGCGCTTAGAATCTCACTTGGAAAACAAATCTCTCTTTTCCATCATCAGGATCCTGACTCTACGGATATCCGATCCCGGTATGCCGATATTTGGATCGCCTTGGATGTTGGGTCATGCAGCTGAAATACCGCTTCTGGGAATGCAGTCAACCCCAAATACGAGAGAATCAAGATTAAATTAAATTAGATCAGAAGCCATAGTGACGAGTTCTAACCCGCAGTAATAACAGGCATGATAACGCCAGAGACCCAGGAAGTTCTGCATCGCGATTGTCAGCCATCTCGCAATTCCGATCGCGTAATTCCTACGCGGAGTTACCATACCCGGATAAGCACCTAGCCTATGTTGTATCTCAAACAAATGGAGTACAGATACTTGCAGAATGAACCAAAGCAAAGAAAGGGTCTATTTTCTGCAGCACCTTTGCGTCCTTTTCTCACATACTGACACGAAGCAAAGCCGCATTTCCGAGCGTCGGAGTTGCTAGATCTGGGCTTTGAGCCAGTACTTGATGGCTTTTGGCCCGCCCTTATTGACAATCAAGCCTCTGGTTCTGGCCTCTGATAAGGTAGAGCGACTCTTTGCTCATATATAAGGTACAGAGGATGGTCTTCAGGAGCACACTGCAGATGGATTTAAAGAGAAAGACATTCGCTAATGACCGCTGATTCAAGGCGAGATGATGCATGGCGCAGAAAACTACTTCGCTACTAATCAGTGCGGTTTGTTAGGTACCCTCAAGAGGCAAGAAAGCACCGAACCTTAATACAAGGTATTAAAATAAACTTAGTAAAGACCTCCCTAAACTTAGGCTAGATTTACTTAAATTATATTTATCACTAAAGGTTAAGGTCTTTAGTTTTCTTTCCTCCCCTAGGGTGCAAGTAATCTCAGCCATGTTTTCGCATACAGCGGTCCATAACTATCATGCTGATAAAAAGTATCTCGAAGGCGGGGATCAATATATATTTGAGGGCCATTGTTAAGTCGAATGACATGAGTAGCGGTTCTGTTTCAGTAGTCTGCCGTTGTTCACACTACAGAACACATCACTGTAACCAAACTCTGGAAAAGGGCAGCTAGCGCTGCGATTTTGAAGTCTCCTGTTCAAAGTGGGCGCAATTACGACCAAGGCGGGTGTGGGTACTGCAGCCAGGTCTGACTCCATCGCATTTGAGTTTGCGCTTCTGATATATCATACATGCCAGTCGTTTTGGCTTGGGAACGATTGCATTATCCACTTCGTCATCCCGCGTGGCCTGCCGGAGGTCGGTAGCTCAGCTTTATCTTAAGAGTCCTGGGAAAGGAACCAGCTAATGCTAGATGTTTTCTGGCATCGGTCCCAGTTGTTTTCAACACCGGAGACACTGATATTATGGGATAAGAATGAGTGTATGAAGTCGGTGTACGCGAGCAGCCATATTGTAAACATGTTACCTAAAAAGATAAAATAAATACTATATAAGAGAAAGCTAGGCCCAGTAGAACATAAGTATAAAACGTAGAAAAGAAGAAAATGTATAAAACGATCAAGCCAGATAGAATATAGCCATAATTCAAATGTTGAACAGAAGGGTTCCTTAGAGTTGACTCTGGCTGAGACCTCACGCTCTCTGCCGGCGGGGTGGGTTGCTTGGGGCGCGGCAGTGGCTCTGTGAGAAATTTATCTCTGTCCCTTACCGGCCTTACCCCAACGCGACCCGTTTGAAACTCCAAGGGCGTAAGAAGGACGCATTGATTGACATGCTCTTGCTTTGAGTTGCTAAATCGGGTGCGACACATCCAGAGGTCTGCAAGAAACCGATCAGGATGGGGGATCTTTGCCATTTCACCTTCTGGAATATGGACGATGAACTCTGGTTCCAAAACATTACATACAGCGACAGCCCAGTTATCATAATGCTGCAGATTATAATGTGCTAGGTCGTTTCGATACTGATGTGGTGCTACTGCTATTACCTGTAGCGGCGTAGGAATCCGAACATTCCTGGAATAGCCTGCATGGGGCGAATAGGCTCCATGGGAAGGCTGTACTGTATGCTAAAATAATGTTAAATAAGAAGGATTATAGTGTTTTTCTTGGATGAATGACTTACCTCGTATATGGTCCCAAGGATCGGTCGCTCAAAGATCTCATCGCGTTCCATATGATAAGGCGGATCCACCGAGACACGGCCAACATAATCTATGGACTGCTTTGTTTCGAACAGGATACCCAATTCCCTGAGGAGCATGAGAATCTTAGGATCAACTCCCATCCACATAGGAGGCCCCTCGATGATAACAACAATGTTCTTCCAAGGTGATGCAACCTGCTGTGCAAGTGCTGCAATAGAAGTGGAAATAAAGTTCCATTGGGTTGCGAAATCATCAAGCCACATGAAAGCATGTACTGGGATGTAGAATGCGATCTTGATCCGCCTCGGTGGTTGGAAGCGGCTTGGCTGAAGAATGTCCTGGAAGGCGAATTCTCGTCCCGGGAATGTCAATGCTGTGAAATGGGTGGTGGAATATACAACGTCGGACTTGCCAGAGAAAGGGTCTTGTTCCTCTGGCTTACTCCAACAGAAGCTCAGACTAAAGGCATTAAAGCATCGTGAAGGTACTGTAGACGGGGATGGGGGACGTTGCTCTGCCATGACTCCTGCTCGGCGCCGTCGTCTTAAGCAGATATCACGCCATTCTCCCTCCTTGCCTGTATAGTATGTTTCCACGTTTGTGATGCATTCCCATACTGAGAGTCTGTTCTCTTCGGCCACTTGATACTCGGAATGATTATTGTGGACATTGAAAGGCGTCAACTCCGAACCTGAAAGGTAAGCAGAGCCAGTACCTTCATCGTCTTCAATAATAGGAGATGGGACTCGTGTACTAGAACTTTTCCAATCAATAGATGCTCCGTCTAAGGCATTCTCAGTGTATGTCGTCATGTCTTCCAAGAATTTCTGCAGGATATAATCATCTTGATTTGACAGCCGTGCCTGGAGTTGGTTGATCTCTTCTAGAATTTGGGCCGTACCATCCTTTATAGCTGATGTATCATTCCGGATCTCTGCCGTGTCTACTTTTATCGCTTTAGCCGTATGCCTAGACAAGTCAGCCGATAACGTTAAGTCCACGAGGCCTGGATCGGCCTTACAGTGCAAGCATATCAAGAGCCAATTCCAGTGCCGCTTTATGAGCCTCTAAGTTTGAGCGCAATTTCGCCACGTCTCCTTGGCCATTGATAGCCCACCCGGCCTTGGCCCTCAGTCGATTGTTGCAATATTTTGTAATACAGCCTTGTAACTCAATGACGACTGAATGGCAGTTGGCCAAAATACCTGAAACATGATATGCAAGAGTGGCGGGGAATGTTTTATCCTCATCAATCGCATCTTTGATGAGTTCAAGGACTGTCTGCAGGGACAAGAGCTCTCGTGCTACTCGATCTAGGTCACTGCGAGCTTCGCGACAAGTTCGCACAAAGCTGTTGATGGATAAAGACAGAGTGCCGATAGTCGAGATTAGACCTATGCAGCCTGTGGTAATCGACAGAGGATCCATGTTTGATACGAGATGTTTGTTGCCAATTTATTCACAGCTTGTAAATGAGGGGTATTGGCGTTGATTTTCAGCTGACAAGGTTGACACAACACCTGATTGGCTGCGGGCTGATAGGCATTCTCCTAGTAATCAGGGCTCACCCATCTTATCAACACTAAAGGCGTTTGCACTAAGCTCAAGAGAGTTAATATCAGGTTGAATCGTGCATGGACCACAAGCCCTTTCAACTCTTCTTATGGCCTATATTCGATCATCCTTTATGTTATGACCCTAGCGGTTATATTATATGTATATAAGGACCCTACAAATTTCAACTAATGCCTTTATAATATCCTAAACTGACATTTAGAATGCATAGCCTATATTAGACTAATCCCTAGAGGACTAACTAATATTAGACTAATATCGCTCTAGGAATAACTTACTCTAGGACTTATAATAACCTTATATCCTATTATTCCTATATAAACACCCTAAGTATATAGAACATACTTTTTAGCACTTTTATAGATTCTAGCTTATTAGCTATTAATA